TCTGGCATGTAGTAACCTCTATAGACTTGTTAAAGAAAAAAAGTACTGCCAGTGTCACCACAATGAATTTAAACATCCCGCGTTGTCTCTTGACCCCGATTCACAGTCCTAAGGAGGAGCGGGGCGGAAGGGGAGAGACCAGGAGGAATGAGGGAATGTTGGTCATGTCCTCGCACCGGGGTCAGGAGAGGTGAGAGCATGGTGCAGGTCCGGCTTCCCCACGGGAAGGACGCCGCCTCCCAGCAAGGCTGCACCGAGGGCGGGGAAGCCAGGGACAGAGCCAGAGACAAGGATTTCGGAGTAAAATGCTCAACCAAGAATAGTGAGTGAACTGAATGGGCGACCGATACAAAAACACAACAACAGACAGCAGAGCTTGTGTGGGACGAGACTCCCGGAAGCAGGAGGAGGGAGTTGGGCAGGTGAGACAGAAAGGGGCGCTCTCAGTGGGTCACAGGCCCGGTACCCTGTGCTGAGCGGGTCCTGGGGGAGGGGCATGGGTGGAAGGGAAGTGGTGGAGATGGACCTGGGATAGGCGGGTAGGCAGACTTGAGCAGAGCCAGGACAACGGGCCAGATACAGAAGGTCACCAGGGGGAAAGCCCTGGGTGCCTAGCCACAGGCAATGCAGGGTGGGACCTCGCCCCCAGGGTTCTTCCTCCTCTAACATATCACTGACCCCCTGACCTTTCCTCCCAGGAGATAACATCTAAGCCTCAGTTGTATTCCAGCTCCAGGCCCAGATAAGCAACCCAACCAGCTGGCTTGCCTTAGCTGATTTGGCTCAATGGATGGAGCGTGGTCTGCGGATTGAAGGGTCCCGGGTTCAGTTACGATCAAGGGCACAGGCCTGGGTTGCGGGCTTAATCCCCAATACGGGGTGTGCAGAAGGCAGCCAATCAATGATTCTCTCTTATCATTGCTGTTTCCCTCTCTCTCTCTCTCTCTCTCTCTCTCGCTCTCTCTCTCTCTCTCTCTCTCTCTCTCTCTCTCTTTCCTTTCCTCTCTGAAATCAATAAAAGTATGCTTCAGAAAATAGAAATAAAACCCAGCTGGCTGACCTCCTACCCTGGTGCCGGCCAATCAGCCAGTGGAGCTCACAGCCTGAATGGATGCACATGGAAAGCTGCCGAATCTTCTACTGAGATCTTCCCGGGATCTTCCCTAAAATCCCCTCTCTTTCCCTCCCTCCCCTCCCCTGCCCCTCGGTGTACCTTTAGCTTAAGGTGACCAGACAGTCCCGATCTTTACGATCTGTCCTGCGTCCCACAGCGTTTATAAAAAGTCCCAATTTTTTGAGCTCCAGTGGTGCAATTGGTTAGCGCGCGGTACTTATAAAAAAGTCCCGATTTTTTTAAAGAACAGGGACTTTTTTTTTTTTTTCTTTAACGCTGCAGGAAGCTGACAAATTGTTAAAAATCGGGATTGTCCCGCCAAAAGCGGGACGTCTAGTCAGTCACCTTACTTTAGCTTCCTCACTCCCTTAGAGCTTGTTTTCTAAGCCATTTCTTCTGGGAGTTACTTTTTCTGCCTCTGTGGCTTACCAAAGACATGTGCTCTGAATTCTTTTCTAGCCGGAGCCCCAGTACCGAGGTTGCCGGAACCTAGATTTGTTCTGACTCCGCTGGTCAGACACCGCCTACAACAGGCCGAGGGCACATGACAGTTGTAACATACTTTTTACCTGGCCATTTCTTTTCTTTTTTGGTGGTGGTGGGGGGAGCTGGGATGAGAAACTGAACGGAGGAGGGCCCAGGGTGCCCACAGTGGCATTGTTGGGCCAGAGGAAAGCTCTGAGAGGTGTCACCCCTTGGTCACATGACGATGCTGTCACATGACTTAGCTCCTTCAGCTGTTGGGGATACCGGAAAAAGAAAGTTTGAAACTTTCTCAGCAGCTTCCCGCCCCCCATCACAGGATCTGGGGCTTTGGGTGAGCTAGTCCTCCAGATCCTCCTCCTCTTCCCCATCCTCCTCCTCCTCCTGCCAGCTCCCCAAGACAGTTCTGGCCCCGGGTGCTGGCTCACAGCACTTTACATTCTGGGAGCACACCCTGGGTTCCTTGGCATTCTTGGAGGATTTTTATTATCTCCCCAAACCATCGTTACAGAGTCTGGGGTGGAAATCTCAGGGACCCTCAGGCCCGCCGGCCTAACCTGGGTGGAGCACAGAGGAACCAGCGAGCCCCTGGGAAGTGCTTGGCCGAGACGGTTCCTTTGAACCATCTCATTCCAGCCCGTCATAGTCTTACACGGTGCTCACTGTACGGCCAGCATTCAAACCCTAAACTCTGACCTAGAACCACAACAAACAGCACTGCACGCCGGACTGGCCAGAATGGTGCCAGGTCACGTGGCCGTTCTGAGCCTGCCTTTTCTTCACTACAACTTTGGGGTGGGCGTCACTCGGTGGGTGACAGCTGGTGGGAGGGGTGTGTTCCCGAAAGCGCCCCAGGCAGGAGTGTTGGAACAAAACTGCTCTCCCGGCTTGCCTGCCAGCCTCGGAAAAAGCCCTTCTCCTTGGGCCCTGCTGCCCCCTGCTGGTGGAGGTCCCGCCGCCCGCCAGTGCCCATGGGAGGTCCGGAGCCCGGGCGGACTCACTGCTTCTGGCCCTGCCTTCAGCTTTCTGCACTTGCTTCCTTAGCTGTCAAGTGGGAACTTAAGGACAGAAGGAGAGAGGCTGTGCAGAATGTCACCGCCAGGGCCTGGCCAGACAGGACTCCGATGCCCTCCTGTGGGGCAGACAGAGGAGTCCTAGAACAGTCTATTTCGGATGCACGGGTGTGGGGGGTGAACTTCTGGGCGCTGTCTTCCATTCAGTGGGAAGCCCCTTCCTGGTCCTCCCACCCCATCTCCCATTCTGTTCATCTCAGTATCCGGAGAAGGCAGCTGAGTGACTATTGGGCACCACCCTCCCCAGCTGCTGTGTCCACACTGGAGCGCCCACGGAGGACGGAGGCCTGGGAAGCAAGGACCACAGCCTTGTCCCTCGCCCCAGCCCCCTGCCCTGTGCTGGGCACTGGACCAGGCATGGTGTCTCCTCTGCAAACAGGAGCCCGGGGGATTCCAGCCCCATCTTCCCGGCTCCCCTCACAGGGCCCAGCTGGCCTTCCAGAGAGCCTCATCCTCCAAGCCCACCCCCTCCGAGGCTCCCTCCTCGTCACCAGGAGGGTCTGAGCTCCCCCCCTCCTCCCGGGGTGTGGTGACCCGAATCAGGAGAAGGAGACCAATACCCATTCAACATGCTACACTTGCTCCTGCTCTGCAGGAACGGCAACCACCGTACAGAGCAAAGAACGACCCTCATTTCACGGTTAATAACTCTAGGCAGTAGTTAATGCGGAGTGAATAAGCACTAGTTCCGTGAACTCATTTAATCCAGCCTCCTTTTCCAAATAATGTCCTAGTGACTCCTCCAAGGTCACAGAGCGGGTAAGTTGCAGAACCAGGATTTGAACTCAGGAAAATGCCATACTTTCCGAAACCCGACTTTAAGCATGGAACTTGGAGGTGAAGCCCTTGGAGGCAGGGGGGTGGTCAGAGAGTCGGTTTTGGATCTCTCTGCTCCTCGGCCGGGTCAGGGCTTTGTCAGTCCCCTGATTCTTATGCCATTGGCTTTGGGGTGACTTCCTGGGGACCAGTTCTCATCCTCCACAGGAGCAGGAGGTCAACGAGAGCAAAGAAGGTGACCCGATGTGGGGAGGTCTGCCAGCCACCACCCCCTCCCCACACCCAGCTGTGGGGCCCAGGGCGCTGTCCGGGCAGAGGGGAGAGGGAAGCCCCATGACTCACAGAGTGTGCCCCACCCCGTCCACCCGGGATGCCAGGGCATGGCCTGTCCTGGAGGAGTGGCCCTGGGGCCCCCACCTCTGCCCTTTGAGGCCAGGCGGGGGCGGTGGGGAGAGACAAAGACTGTGGTCTGTGGCTCATCGCCCCGCTGGCCTCTGGGCCTGCCTTCCCTGCTCCCACGTGTCAGGCTGGGCCTGCCCTGCCAGGTGGGGCTGTGCGGGGTTGAGAGAGAAGTTTGGCTGCTGAGGAGGAGGAGAACAACCAGCCATAATCACAGCTCTGGCTCCTCAGCGGGGTAGCCGAGTCCTCCTGGGACACCCAGGATGGTGCATGTGGCCTGCCGCTGGGAACCAGCCGCCAGGCACCCTGCCTCTCCAGTCCCGGCGTCAGAGGGGCTTTCCTCCTGCTCCTCATGTAGGGCAGCGGCCAGCAAGCTCCCCTCCCTCCCTCGCGGCATCCCCGCCCTGCCTGCAGTCCAGCCCTGCCACCCAGTCCCCTGGCCTCGACGTGTGGCAGCTTGTTTCTTGTTTCTGGACGATTGCAGCTGCCCAGCGGGTCTCCCGCTCCCACCTCCACCCTCCCAGACACCTGTCCCGCTGCCACGCCCGCCTCTTTGGGAGCCGAGGCGGCCGCTCCCATGCTCAGGGAGGGCGCCGGGCCTCAGCGCGGGGCGGGCACAGGCAGGGGCGCCTCGGCGTGGGTGCCGTGCGCGGAGCGAGGAAGCCAGCTCCCAGGGCTTGCTGGAGAAGGCGGCGCCTGAGCCGGGCCCCGAAGGCAGGGACGGGGAGGAAGGAAGTGCTGAGCTGGGGGAACAGCCAAGGCTTGGAGGCTGGGAGGGGTGTCGGTGCTCCCCAGGCGTGGCGGGGGTGGCCGATGTCCTGGCATCCGATGGGGAAGGCGGGCTGTGGTCCGATGCAGGAGAGCCCGCGTGGCCAGCTGCAGAAGCTGGACTTCCTCCTCTGGGCGGGACTGTGGCTGAGCTCCTGTGTGCCAGGCACAGGGCGATCCACCTGACCCAGCTCTAGGGGAGCCTGCCACCCGCTGGGAGGCAGACAGGCCCTGACAAATGGTGACAGACTCTCAGGGAAAGTGAAGGAAGAAGCCAAGGGCGGGTTCCAGGCAGTTCCACTCCGGCGCCTACAGGGGGCGGGCTTGCACCCGCCCTGGAACACGTGTGTGAAGGCGTTGTGAAACAGGAGGCGTGCCACACCTGCCAGGCGATGTCGTTTTAGTGGTTACAGTTACCACCCGGCAGGGCAGGGGTGAGGGGCCGGGTGGGAGTCTGGCCCGGGTGGGGGTGCGATGGCCCTGGGACCACCTGGGACCACCTCCTGCCGGAAGGCGCTGAGGGTGTGGCCCCAGGAACAGCGGCAAGGTGGGCCCGGCTGAATGGCCACCTCCTGGCTGTGCGGTCCGGGGCTGGGGGCGGGGGGGCTCCAGGACGAGCCCTCCCCAGGGCCGGGGGGGCCCCCTCCTCATGTCTCAGGGGGATTTCACGTCAGTTCAGGGGCCTCAGCCCCAGCACCAGGGGCCTGGCCTCCGTGCTGACCGTTGACCATCGGTGTGAAGGGCGGTTCGGTCACAGCCCGGGAGCGGGGCCCAGCCTGGCCCACTGGGCGATAGGTCAGCGCCCGGCTCCGTCCTGCGCCGGCGGGCGATCTGGGCGGGGAGGCCGCGGTCAGGTCAGCACGCAGCAGCCCCGGCTGACCCGCCGCCAGCAGTTGCGGCTGCGGCTGCTGAGGGCCACCTCCACGGCCTCCTGGAAGACGGCGTGGACGTTCTCCTGGAGCCGCGCCGAGCACTCCAGGTAGGCCACGGCACCCACGGCCCGCGCCATCTCCTGGCCCTGGCGGAGAGCGATGGCGTGAGGGGGGCTGCCGGCACCTCCCGGCTCCTCCCAGCCTCCGGCTCTCCCCGGAGCCTCCGGGGCACAAGCCGTGTTTCCCGGGTCCCCAGGCTCCCGCCCCCGGGCTGGACAAGTGGCCTCCGTGGCCTCCGTGGCTCTCGTGGCCTCCGTGGCTCTCCTGCCTCCATCCCGGGCTAGGCCTCTGCCTCCCCAAGTCCCGGCTCACTTCCCGGTGCGGAGCGGAGAGGGGCCTGCAGGCTGAAGAGCCGGGGTTTTTCCTGGGCCTCAGGTCGCCCACCCGGGGTGTGGGTGGGCAGGACTATCTGATGTGCACATCACTGTTCTCCCTTCCACGGCTGGAACCTTCCAGAGTATTCTAGGGACCACTCCACGCACCACATCTCTGACCCCTCCCCGGCCCCCCACCCCGAGCGCTGACACCTGGCGCTGCAGAGGCTGTGCTGGTCGGGGTGCCCGGGCTCCCCTTCCGGCCCCCGCCCCACCCCCCGCTGGGTTTCCTACCCGGTGGTAGGTCACGGGCTCCAGCTTATCTTTCCAGAGCTTGTTCACCAGCGTCCGGTCCTTGCGCAGGTCGGTCTTGCAGCCCACGAGGACGATGGGCACCTCCTTGCAGAAGTGTCTCACCTCCGGGTACCACTGCGGGGCGGGGGCGGGGGCGGGAGGGGCGTGTGTGTGTCAGCCGTTGGGAGTGCTCCCGTCTCTGCAGAGCGGGGGACAGGCTGTCCTGCTCCCAGGCAGCTCCCCAGATCGCAGATCGCCAGCACAGCCCACGTCAGGGGAGGCTGACTCCATGCCCGGCTCTGACACGTTTCACCTGTGGACTCATTAGCCCCCCAGGCCCCGAGGACGCAACGCCCATCGCCAATCCCATGACGCACCTGTGGGAACCGAGGCCCAGAAAGGCTGTGTCCCTGGCCTCGGTCACACAACGGGAAGTGGCAGGATCTGAGCCATTCCCGCTAGAACCCTGCCTGCCTACAAGGCAAGGGCTCCCAGGAGCCCCTCCTCAGGGGGAAATATGTCAGCAGATAAGCGCTCCTTTGGAGATAAGGCAGCTTATGGCAGGACTGCCCAGCCCGGCTGGCCGGAGGGAGGCGGTCACCCTGAGTCAGCTGCCCTCTGGAATGCGAGGCTCCCAGTGACTCAGGCTGGACTCCAGCCCTGCAGGCTGGAGCCCACAGCCCAGGAGGGCATGCCTGCTCCGTGTGCCCATGCAGGGAAAGGGGCATCCGGCGACCGGCTCCTGGGGCCGCCTGGGGCCTGTGGGGGGGCCTGGGCGGACTCCCCACCTCCCAGCCCTCCACAGAACTGCCCCCCGAAAGGGTCTCCTCCAGGACTCCACCCTGCTACCCCCCCGAGTGAGTCCTCAGCCCTCACCCCCTGGACCCTGACCCTGGGAATCATGGCACCTGCCTCCAAGCCCGGCCTGCACTTCGCCCCAGAACCCCACTCGCCTGGTTCTTCCCGGGTCTTACCAGCACCCCCTCCTCAGAGCTGTGGGTGCACCTTTCCGCTCGCTGCTCTCGCCCTCCAGGTGACCACCCCCCATCCATGGCTCTGTCCGGCCCAGCCCGGCCCAGCCCGCTCCTGGGAAACGGCAAGTCTCCCTTCCAGTGACTCTGGTCAAAGTATCTTTCTCCCACCCATGTCCCAGCCACCTGCAAATCCTGATGGTTCTGGCTTTCAAAGAGATTCAAGCCGAAACAAGTTTGGCTCAGTGGATAGAGCGTCAGCCTGCGGACTGAAAGGTCCCAGGTTCGATTCCGGTCAAGGGCATGTACCTTGGTTACGGGCACATCCCCGGTGAGGGGTGTGCAAGAGGCAGCTGATTGATGATTCTCTCTCATGGATGTTTCTAACTCTCTATCCCTCTCTCTTCCTCTCTGTAAAAAAAATTCAATAAAATATATTTTTAAAAAATAGAGATTCAAGATATACATCCACCTCTCACTACCCCCTCTGCCAGCACCGTCTCAGCCACCACCATCTCCTCTGGCCCACAGTGCCTGGCACACAGATGTGCCCAGTCATCGCTTCTGGAGGGCTGCGCGGAGCAGAACGCTCGGACTCAAATTCCCGCGTCACCACCTCAATAGATGCGTTTCTTGGAGCAAGTGGCCCAGTGTGGGGGACGATAGTGTCTGGTCCCTAAGGGTGTGAGGGGGTCAGATGAGCACATACATGTGTGTCCGGAACAGCGCCTGGCACGTGGTAGGCTCTAACGCTGCCACCATCGTTGTCATTACCACGAATGCTCCCAAGGAACCTGAGCGCCATCCACACGGAGGCCCTGCACCTGTGTGCGGCGTCTGGAAGCCCCCACATACCTGGGGGCCTCCAGGGCTGCTGAGAGGCCACAGCCACACAGATGGGGGGCTGAGAGCTGCTGGAGGCTGACTGTTCATGTGACCTTGGTCAGGCCCAGGCGGGGCACATTCAGGGGCCCTGGGCCACCCCGCATTCTCAGGCGGGTCCCAGTGTTCCGAGTCTGCAGGGGCGAGCAGGCGGGATCCTCCCACCACAGCCCTGCGGACCCCTGGCGAGTCGCTGCCCACCCTGGGGTCTCGATGCCAAAGGCACTGGCCCGAGGTCGCCCGGGGCCTGCTGAGCTGGCCGTCTGCTGGGTCCAGAGGGGTGGCAGTGGGGGGAGCAGTGTGCCTGGCTTTGGGGGCTCTGCCTCCCACCCCCCCAGCACCTACCCGGGTAGAGACGTTCTCAAAGCTGTTGGGGCTGGTGACATCGAAGCAGAGGAGCACGACACTGGCGTCGGGGTAGAAGAGGGGCCGCAGGCGGTCGTAATCGACTTGTCCTGGGGAACAGGCGCCGTCACTCCCCCCAGACTCCCTGCCGCTGTCAGCACCTCCCCACACCAGTCCCGGGCCCCACGGAGCGTGCGTGAGTGTGTGCGTGCATGTGCATGTGCGTGCATGTGCATGTGTGTGTGTGCATGTGCGTGCGTGCCTGTGTGCGTGTGCGTGTGTGTGTGTGTGTGTGTGTGTGTGCGCGCGCATGCGCCAGGCCTGGGTGAGACCATCTGCAGGGACATCCCTGTTTCGGAGGTTCGGGCAAGGCAGAGGCCCAGCCTGGAGGGACTGCTTTGCCCAGGGCTCGGGGCCTGGGGTGAGAAGCAAGGCAGGCGACCCCCCAGAAAGATTTCTTCGCCTGACCAAGGGAAGGGGCCTGCTGGGACTGAGGCTAGCTGTGAGCTCTGATGGAAAGATGACTGACCCCTTGTGCGGGCAAGGTCAGGAGGCTGGAGGGCAGGGGTCAAGGCCAGGCAGATCTGACAGAAGCTCAGCCACGGTGGGATGCTGGGGCAGGACAGTCCGCCCCTGAGAGCAAAGGGCCCTGGGCCCTCCCTTGTCTCTGGGACGTGGCCAGCTGCCCTGGGGTGGGGCGGCCGTGGACACAGGCACAGAAGCAAGGAGGGCTCCGTCCCTGGGGGCCTCATCCCGGCCCACCCCTGTCCCTTGGAGACTGGGTGGCCTCCCGGTTCAGAAGGAAGGGAGCGGGGCTTGGCTCCCAGCCCCTGGGGCCCCCTCCACCCTGCCCCCCGGGCCGCACCCCACCTGCGGTGTCCCAGATCTGGAGCTTCACAGGTTTGCCCTGCGTCTTCATGTCCATGTTGAACCGCTCAAACACCGTGGGCGTGTAGCTCTGGGGAGGAGGGCCACGGGAGATGGTGAGGACAGCTTCCGAGGGGAGCAGCCCCAGTGCCGACCCGGAGCCCGCACGGGGAGCCGGCAGAGGGTGGCGGTCCTGGAAGCAGTCTGTGGGGCTGAGGCCTAGAGCCGCCCCTGCCCAGCCCCCGTCTTCCCTCCTCGGCTGTAAAGTGGGGCGTCGGGAGTGGCCAGCGCAGCGTGCTGCTGCGAGGCTTCGGAGATCCTCCCCACGGAGCCCGGAGCACAGGGCCCGGCACTAAATACACCCACACCTGCCGGCCACGGCCATTTCTGTCTCTGTCCCTGGACGGGGACGGCACCATGGCTGCCTCTGCCTTCCTGCTGCCCTCCTCCCAGAACAGCATTACCCACGTTTGTCCGTCCACTCATTCATTCATTCATTCATTCGTTCATTTGCACATTCGGTCATGAGACTTTCTCCAGGTCCAGTTCTGGACACTGGGAACAAGAAGTGAACAAGCTCTCACTGGTGTGGCTCAGTGGATAGAGCGTCGGCCTGCGGACTCAAGGGTCCCAGGTTCGATTCCGGTCAAGGGCATGTACCTTGTTTGCGGGCACATCTCTCATCGATGTTTCTAACTCTCCCTCTCCCTTCCTCTCTGTAAAAAATCAATAAAATATATTTAAAAAAAAAAGAAAGAAAAAGAAATGAACGAGACTAGTGCCTGCCTCCTTTGCCTTTCAACCTCTTACAATCCAACCAAATTCCCTGTCCGGTGCCACCCCCTCCGGGACCCCCTCCCATAGGCCCTGGTTTCTGCCCTTCTTATTTGCCCTGTCTGGGCTCAAGAGAAGGTCACCAGCCCCTGTCAATCCCTCCCGCTTGAGCCCCCATCCCCACCAGCCTATGAGCGGAGGGCAGAGGCCTGGTGAGCTCGGAGCTTGGCCACCCACTCCCCGGAGAGGGTCCTGTGCGGGCAGTCACATGTCAGCACTTTGCACATGCCTGCGGAGACTGCATGGCACCCCCATGCTCGCGGGATTCCCGGTGGGAGTCCCTTTACCCGCACCGTCTCCGACCCTGCAGCCTGGGAAAGCCAGGCGTGTCCCCATTTTCCTGATGAGACACTGAGGCCCAGAGAGGGGAGGCAACTTGCCCAGAGCAACGCAATGGACAGCTGGCTAACGAAGGAGGCAGGCTTGTTCCGAGGCCACCAGCCCCGGGGTCAGGAGGGACGTGGGGCTGGGCTGCTCCTCTCTGACCGGCCGCTGTCACCACCCTTCCCCTGTTCCGGAATGTTGTCCCGGAGGCTCTGTCTGCATCTTCTCTCGTGTTCTTTGAACCCCCAGGCAGGGCCACTCTGCCCGTCACAGCAACGGTGCCTAATCTTATCTGCTGAGCTGTCCTCACCAGGAAGGCAGGGACCGTCTGGGCTCGGCCGGGGCACAGATGACTCAGGCGCGGGGCTGCCCTCATGAGGCTCACAGTCGTTACGGAATGGGGACACAGCTCAAGAGAGGAGAGTCAGGCCTGGCCGGCGTGACTCAGGGATGGAATGTCGACCTGTGAACCAGAAGGTCACGGTTCGATTCCGGGTTTGGGGACATGCCTGGGTTGTGGGCTCCATCCCCACTAGGGGACAGGCAGGAGGTAGTTAATCAATGGTTCTCTCTCATCATTGATGTCTCTCTCGCTCTCTCCCTCTCCCTTCCTTTCTCAATTGAGAAAGGAAGGGAGAGGGAGAGAGAGAGAGAGAGAGAAAGAGAGAGAGAGGGAGAGGTGAGTTGGGGGCTTTCCTGGACAGCACCAGCACAGCCATGGAGTTCCAGGGTGGAGGAAGGCTCAGCTGGCTGTGCTGGGCTCCATGTGGGAATGGTGGCCGCCATAAATGTCAGCCAGGAACCCCCTGCCTCAGGAGCCCTCTTACTCTGCTCCCCCTCCCCCGAGCCCCAGGGTGGGGCACAGCCGAAGGTCGCCGAAGCCCCTCCGAATCCCAGCCTGCTCTCTGCTCTTTGCTGAAGGCAAGAGGCCTGGGAGATGGGGCCCCAAGTCTAGCTCCAGGCTCTCTGGGCTTGGAGGACTGCCGGGAGGGGGCATCCAGGGTCAGGAGCGGAGAGGGCTGGGCCCGGCAGGCAGAGCGCCGGGGGCTGCGAAGAGTGTCCTGGTCAGGGGTGGGAGACAGGTGGTAGGCCAGCACGGCCACTGCCGGGCTCTGTGCTCCCTGGCCTCAGTTTCCCCACCTGTAAAATGAAGGCCTTTCCAACTCTCAGGTCTTGTGTTTCTTTTATTAGTTTTATTTCTGTTCATCCTCACTCGAGGATATTTTCCCTTTGACTTTTAGAGAGAGTGGAAGGAAGGAGGAGAGGCAGAAACATCCATGTGGGAAAGACACAGGGATTGGCCGCCTCCCGCATGCATCCCAACCGGAACTGGGGATGGAGCCTGACCAGGACAGAACCCACGACCCTTCCGCCTGCAGGCTGGCACTCTATCCACTGAGCCACACCGGCGAGGGCCCTTGTGTTCCTTTTAAATGAAGAGGCCCCTCTGGTGTCTGGAGGCAGAAGGGTGCCGGTGAGCTCAGGTCCCTGAATAGAGAGGAGCCCAGACAAGGGCAGGTCCATCCCCCAGTTGACAAACATGCCCCCCTTGGCCAGCTCCTGTGTGTCCTTCAATACACCCAGTTCATCAGCTGTGAGATGCTCAGTTCCACCTGGTGACCTCTCTGACATCGGGATGGGTCTCAGCCTCAGGGACACTGGTCTCAGAGCCCAGGACACTGTGGGGAGGCCCCATGCCTGCCAGCCCCTCTCCTGGGACCCGCAGGCCTGGCCCCTCTCCTGGGACCGCAGGCCTGGCCCCTCTCGGGCGCTCTCCGCGTGGAGCTGTGATTGCTGGGGTCGCCCAGGCAGCATCTGGGGGCCTGGGAACACATTCCCCACAACTTTTTAAAAAAACGTGACCGGCCAAAGGCGGTGACATCAGCTCTGCAAACCACACGCGCCAGCTCCACGCTGCCACAATGGAGAGAAAGGCCTGACACGGCCGCTGGGCTCGGTCTCTCCTGCCTCCCCCATCCCTCTCCCGGCGCCCGGCAGCCCGGGGGTGGGCAGGGTCCTGGGAGAGGCAGGAGGGAGAAGAGACGCAAAGCAAAGCCATGACCCCAGGGAGGCGGCATGTGGCGGGTCCGCCCTGGTCCCGGGGCCCGGCCGGTCTGCCCGGGCGTCAGCGAGCTCGCTGCTGACGCAGTGACGGTCGGCTCGCCTGAGCGCCACGGACATGCCAGGCGCCCAGTGGGGTCACCTCTCAGCCTTCCTTTAGCTCCGCCGCCCACGGCCCATGAGGCTGTATGGGAAACTGAGGCTCAGAGGGCCAGAGGAGTGCCCATGTGCCCGCCAGCTGTCTGACTTGACTCTGGTGTGCTCTAACCCTCCAGGGCAGAGCCTTCGGGGTGTGTGTGTGTGTCCATTGCAGGGGCGAAACCGGGAGAAAATATGATATTTCCCAAGAAGGACCTTGGCGTGTTTAGCAGATTCGGAGCTGAGCCGGCGGTCTGGGTGGACTCGCGCCTCCCAGTGCCCCCGGGAGGCGGGCACCCCATCATTCCTCGGAGGCCGTCAGCGCACAGGCAGGGCGAGGGCATGCAGCGGGGAACGGCCAGGTCCTCATTCGAACCCAGGCAGCGGCTCCAGCGGGCAGCGCCCCTGGGCCAGGCGGTGCCACCAGGGGCTCCCCTCCCGGTGCCCGGTGACGCCTCCCGGGAGATGCCATTCTCCCAGGTGACTCCACAGAGGCCGCCCTCCGAAGGCGGTGGGAGTCGGCGGAGACCGGCTGGAGGGCGGCGGGCACCCCGCAGTGGCCCGGCCCGCCCCGGCCCCGCGGCACTCACCTCGGGGAAGTCCCCGGCCGCGAAGACCATCAGCAGCGACGTCTTCCCGCAGCCGCCGTCGCCCACCAGGACCACCTTCACCGCCGCCGCCTCCTCGCCCGCGGCCTGGGCCGCCTTCATCGCGGGCGCCGGCCGGTCCGGGCGGGAGGCCGGGTGTCCCGGGCGGGAGGCGGGGAGGCCGGGAGGGAGGCCGCCGTGGAATGTGGAAGGGGCGGGGCGGCGGGAGGAAGTCGGCGGGGCCGGGCCGGCCGGGCGGGGGGCGGGCAGCGGCCGGGAGTCCAGGTGAGAGGCCCGAGCTGGACTGGGCTGCGCTGGGCGGAGAGGCGTGGCGTCGGGGCTGGACTGTGTGTGTGTGTGTGTGTGTGTGTGTGTCCTTTCCCTCCCACCCCATCCAGCCCCACTGCAAACTTCCTGGAGCACCTACTGTGTGCGCCCGCTGGGACCCCGGAGGGGCACCCAGCTCTGTCCTCTGGGGGAGTCTGGTCTGATGGCGTGGGGAGGGACAGCAGCTGGACAGGGCCAGTGTGTGCAGGGGTGCGGGCGGGGAAGGAGGAGGAGTGTGTGCAGGGGTGCGGGCGGGGAAGGAGGAGGAGGTGGGGGCAGCCGTGCTTGGTGGGGACAGGGACTGGGCGCCCGGAGCCCAGCACAGGTGGAGCACCCGCGGACGGGACTGGGAGGAGGGGATGAGTGAACGAGTGCTGAGCTCCGGAGAGGGTGCATGGCCCTGCAGGTGTCTCTGGCCGGCCGGTGGAATGCGGTGAGCTGGGCCCTCCCCCAGCCAGCCAGCACCAGGAAGTTTCTCTGCAGGTGGGCGGCCACCTGTCACTCTGGTGGTGGTGGTGTGTGTGTGTGTGTGTGTGTGTGTGTATCTGGGGAAGCAATGGAATCTTCCACCTGTGAAGTGTTTAGACCAGGATCTGGGGCATGTTTGGCGCCATGTGTGTGTGATCCTCACGATTTAACCAACACGGATGGTCCCTCTGTGCCAAGGGCCAGGGGACCCTGAGCTGTTTAAGACACAGTCCTGCCGAAGCCGGTGTGGCTCAGTGGATAGAGCATCAGACTGCAGACTGAAGGGTCCCGGGTTCGATTCCGGTCAAGGGCATGCACCTTGGTTGCAGGCACATCCCCAGTGGGGGGCTTGCAAGAAGCAGCTGATCAATGACTCTCTCATCGATGTTTCTAACTATCTCTCTCCCTTCCTCTCTGTAAAAAATCAATAAAATATATTAAAAGAAAAGAAAAGAAAAGAAAAGAAAAGACACAGTCCCTCTCCTGAGAAGCCCATGCCTAGACTGGGAGCCGGGCTCAGAGTGATAAGAGCCACCTCAGGGTGGGGACAGGCAGTGGATGGCTGTAGGGGGGAGGGTCCCCTCAGCCGGCCGGGGGGACCAAGAAACATTTCTGAGAAGAGGGACCAGAGGAAAAAGTAAGAGTCAGATGGGGGAGGGGAGAGATTTTCCAAACCGAGGGAACAGAACATGCAAGGAGCAGGGGCACGAGAGAGGGGTTGCTTTGGGGCTCAGTGAGGGCGGGGCGGCCTGGGGAGCTGGTGCGGGGGGGACTGGGCACTGGAGCACGGGGGGGTCAGGAGCACACCCAGAACCTGACCTCCCAGCCCTGTCAGTGACCAGCACTGAAACCTCACAATGCACACGAGAGCCTCCCAGACGCTGACGGAGTGTTTCCATTAACGCGCCAGGAAACGGGGCCGAAGTCTGTGCCCCGCCCTCCCCCAAATCCCCCCTCAGGTCATGATGTCCCGGGCACGGGGTTCAGAGCCTGGCCCGTGAGAGAGCACCCTCGGCCCTGGCCGGTGTGGCTCAGTGGCTGAGCATCGCCTGTTCACGGAACGGTGGCGGTCCGGTCAGGGCACATACCTGGGTTTAGGGCTGGATCTAGCGGGGCGGCAACCAATCAATGTTTCCCTTTCACATCAATGTTTCTCCCCGCCCCCCTTAAAACCAATGACGGCGTCCTCGGTGCGCGAAAAGCCGGCTCGGCCTTCTCTGGACCTCACTGTGCCCCGAAGGGGCAGCCGGGCGGTGTCTGCTCAGAGGCAGAGCCAGGCCCCGGACCCCGACTCAGCGTCAGGCTCACCCAGGCCGGGTCAGCAGAGGGAAGGGAGCCTCCCTGGATGGAGGAAGCACACTAGGACTGCCCCGCCCGTCAGGGCCCCTCCCTCCCCGAAACTGCCCCAGGGCTGGGCAGTGGCTTGGCACAGGGCTTGGTGTGCAGCGGCTGAGCAGGGCTCCGCGCCCCAAGGAGCGGTGGGGAGGGGCCCGGCCCCCCACCCCCCAGTGACGTCTTCCCGGGGCTGCTGTCAGCAGGCTTCGGGTGGACGGCGGGTGCGGCCAGGCTGGGTGGAGGAGCCGAGAACCAGGCAGAAGCGTTTGGCCTTGGTTGCCATGGGGATAATCACGCCGACACTCTCGGTGTGTGTCACGCTTTGCAGTTTCACTGAGAGTTTCCTAACGATCGCAGCTCCCGTCAGTGGCTCCCTGACCCTGTGCAGGTACGTTCCCCGGCCGGCGGGACTGTTAGCCCCATTTCACAGGTGAGGCACCTGAGGCCCAGACAGCTTAAGCGCTTGTCTAAGATCCGCAGCCAGGAAGAGGCAAAACCCCAGGTCTGGCCACACCTGGGACATCACACCTCCCTCACACGCGTGAGGTCATCCAGCCCTCAGGTCCTGATGTCAAGCCCCAGCTCTACCCCCACTCTGTGCTCCGGCTTCCACAGGAGGGAGAGGAGGGCCAGGAAAACCTGCCCCGGTTGTCAGGAATGTCCCCACGTCTCAGGCATGGCTGGGCCCCGGCCGGCGGTGTTTTCCTGGCGTTCATTTTGGAGGGAGGAGGTGGCCTGGGCCAGTTGGCCCGCCAGGGCACGGTTATGCTGTTTCCTGGGACACTGTTTTGTGTGGTTGCCGATGACTGCCAGCCTGTGGGTGACTCAGCCTCTTAGAGTCCCTCTGGCCCCAAGCCCAGGGTCCTTTGGGAACCCCGAACGATGGGTCACAGCCCCAAAGACCCCAGAAAACAGAGATGGCCAGACCGGCCCTCCTTTGGCTCAGGATGTTATGTCCAATCGGCTGCTTGGCTGGACAAATGGGAAGAGAAGGAAAATGATGGAGCCGGGGAGAGAGGAAGGAAAGAAGGAAGGAAGGAAGGAAAGAAGATGGGCTGGCTCAGTAAGCAAAGTAATGAATGGAGGAACAAATGGTCGCATGCGTGAGTGAACAAGCGCATGACCAGAGTTTAGGGTCAGCGGACAGGTGACTACCCTCCAGCTTCCATCTGCTGCTTCTTCTGAGGCCCAGAGACCCCTTCCGTTCCAGCTGAGTCTCTGCTGCCCCCCTGTGGTGGCCCTGCTCCCTGCACCGTCATCACAAGCTCTGGTGTGGGGTGTTTCTGGATGAACGAAGGGGAGGGACAGGGGGTGCCAGGCCGTGGAACTTCAGAGTCCAGTGCTGCCCCGGAGAAGACCTGGCTGGAGACACAGGCCCTTCGCTCCTCACACCTCCCTAGGCACCTGCCCTCCCTGTCATCCCAGACACCAAACCCAGGAGGAACTCCACCCAGGGCCTTGGCCTCACTTACTGCGCACCTTCTGTGGCCAGACACTCGCCCTCAGTAGGTGCTCATTTTACTCCATCCAATGAAGTACGTATAATTCTTTTTTAAAAAATATATTTTATTGATTTTTTACAGAGAGGAAGGGAGAGGGATAGAGAGTTAGAAGCATCGATGAGAGAGAATCATTGATCAGCTGCCTCTTGCACACCCCCCACTGGAGACGTGCCCGCAGCCAAGGTACATGCCCTTGACCGGAATCGAACCCGGGACCTTTCAGTCCACAGGCCGACGCTCTACCGCTGAGCCAAACCGGTTTTGGCGAAGTACGTATCATTCTTAAACTCTTTGACAATCGAGGAAACTGCTGAGTGGACGGAGTTTGGGCTCTAACCCAGGTGATGGGGCGCCAGGGCCTTTACACACAGCAGCCAGAGGGCGGGGGCCGTTAGAGACTTTAGCCAATGTGCTCCTTCCGGGGGAAACAGGCTCTGGAGAGGAAGGGATTTATCACACAGCGAGGAAGCCGCAGACACAGGCCTGTGGCAGGCAGAACCCAAAGGGCCTCTACTCTCTAGATCCTTCTGTGGGCTCCCCAGGACCAGCTCAGCCTCAGCGGCCACTGGGCTGGAGCCCAGGGCTGGGGACGCAGCCTTCTGCCCCTGCCTCACCGGTGACCCTCTGGGTCCGAGGAAAAGGCGGATTAGGGGGTGGGAGAGGCGGGGAGCGAGGCCGCCCCGTGGTTTGTGTTTGTTTAGCCATCGGGACGGTCCCTTCCGGTGTCTGCAGTCCCAGACGGCCGCGGGCAGGAGAGAGGAAGGGCAGTCTGGAGCTGCAGGCGCTGCGGGCGATAAGCCGGCTGGCCCTGCCCCTCCCGCATGCGGGCCTGCCTGGCCGTGCTGCTGGCCGGGTCAGCAACCCCCATGCCTGTCCTCCTGGGCGGGGCTCCGTCTATCGCTGAGGCTCCCTGACTGAGAGGGCCGGGGACCTCCAGGCAGGCCCATGAGCCCAGGGTGGAGGGAGGGGGACGGTGGGGGAGAGAAAGAAGAGGCAGAAAGAGATGGGAGCAGCTGGGTGTGGGCCCTGGTGAATGAACTTAAAACCTAAAGGCAGGCCAAAGCCGGTGTTGCTCAGTGGATAGAGTGTCGGCCTGCAGACTGAAGGGTCCCGGGTTCGATTCCGGTCAAGGGCATGTACCTTGGTTTCAGGGACATCGCCAGTAGGGGGTGTGCAGGAGGTGGCTGATCCATATCTCTCCCTCATGGATGTTTCTAACTATCCCTCTCCCTTCCTCTTGAAAAATCAATAAAAATTAAAACAAAAAAACCATAAAGGCAGCCTGGACCTGCCCTCACAAACCAGAGCAGCCTGCTGGTGTCCCTCGTTTCCACAGCTGCTTAGAGTGTCCCCCTCCCGCCTCCCTCCCTCTGTGGCTCCCCACGGCCAGGACCTTCGGCCTCCACCCTCAGCGCAGCCACGCCTGGCCTCTGTCCCCAGACACAGGCCACACTGTGCCGGCAGCGCCCCCGCCTGGCGGATCCTCTCCCGCCTCCGCGTGTCCAGCCTGCCTGCCCGGCAGAGCCGCTCATGTTTCCACGCCCTCTGCGCTTCCCTGGGGCCAGCCTTCACAGGCTCCTGCGACGGCCTGGCGGGCTGGCCACCGGTCTCCCACACAAGCTCTTTATCTGCCCACCCAGACCCTCCTCCTCCCACGCTCGCTGTGACCTTCCGGGGAGGTCCGGGGAGGGGGAAGCCACAACAGCCTGGGATCCAGAGCAGCCTGTGTGTGCCCTCAGCCCCCTCCTCAGGAGCTGGGGAGGGGGCAGTGCTGCCCAGTGGTTAAGAGCATGAGCTCTGGAGCCTGAATCTCAGCTCTAAGCCTTTTAGGCTGTGTGACCTTGGGCTCGTGACCTAACCTCTCTGAGCTCCCGTTTCCATAGCTACAAAAAGGAGATGACACAGTACCTACTCTAAGTGTTAGAGTAGCAGGCTGCACAGCAGCATTCAGGGGCTCATACAGCCCCTCTCCCTCCCTCCCCCCAGATCTTGCCTCCGGCTCCTTCCCCCCCCATCCTCCCTAAGGGCTTTAGCAAGGTTGATGGATCAGCTGAGCTTTTGTCTGCCCCTGCTCCTGCACTTTCCCATATGCTCCTCCCTCTGCCAGGAATGCTTTTGGGGCCTCATCCACCCTCTTTGGCTTTCTGCCACTTCTTGCCCCAAGGCTCAGGCTGGCACCACCGCCGGGAAGCCCTCCTTGATTTTCCCACTGCCATCCTCCCCACCAGGCCTGGCTCGTGGCCCCTTCTCTGAGTCTCCCAGCAGTGTGATGGTGTTGTCCTGGTCATGCCCTCCCAAACCATATGGGGGCCGCCTCTCCCTGCCCCTCCCCAGCTCCGGGCGCCCCGCAGCAGGGCAGCAGGGCAGCAGGGCACAGGCCCGAGCCCCTGGTCCCTCGAGCAGAGACGAAGAAGGTGTTCGGGCTGAGCGGGGCTCCGGGAAGCCCCCTCCTTCCCGCTTCAGCTTTATTTCAGTTCTAGAATCATTCCAGTCAGCATACTCAGTCCCCACCACGCCCCGTCCTGGTGCACAGTCCACACGTCATGCAGTTAGAGGGAGGGAAGAGCGGGCAGCGGGAGTCATGCCTGCCCTCAGCCCCGGCCAGGAGGCCTGGGCTCCCCCAGGCTGCGGAGGCTCGCCCGCTGGGTGTCCCGGACCCCGTGCTGGCCTGGGCCGGGCAGACCCCCTGGTGCTGGGCCCTGGCCGTGTCCCATGGGAGCCACAGTCCTGCTCTAGTCCCCATCCACCCTGGGCCTCCACTGTGGTCCAGCCGCCCTCTCCTCCACATCATGGGACAACCAGGGCCTGGGTGTCCATGCTTCACCAGGGCCGGCAGCAGCCAGCCCGAGCGCCCGTGCTCCCCATGACTGCCACATGGAGTAGATGCTGCGTGTCCCCCCCCCCCCCATCCCTTTGAACCAGAGCCCTCAGCTGAGGGTGCACGGCTGCCCCTCTCTGGGGCTGTCTGTGGGGATGGAAGCCGCCTCCGCCAGGGACCCTCCCTCCAGCCGGGGGTGGGCAGAAGCCAGACAGGATGCCTGTGGGGGTGACGGCCGAGCCCCTTTCCTCCTGAGCAGGACCCCCAGGTCCCTTCACACTCCGGCCCCCGGTGCAGGCGAGGCTGGGCATGTGAAGCCACAGCTCGCTCGCTGCCCAGCCTCCCTCTCCCTGACGGCTTTTCCTGAGGGCGGACCCCCGACACAGCCTGCGCCCCTGACGCCTCCCCTCGGGGTCTGCTTTGGGGACGTGCCCCAGGAGCCCTCTTCCCAGCCTCAGTGTCCGTCCTGGCCCCTCTCACCTGTCCTTCGCTGCCGCTGCTCAGGCCGGCTCCCTCCCAGCCCAGCCCACGGTCTCCTGCTGATCCGCCGTGCCCTCACCCACAGACCCTGCCGTCTGTGTCCTGGCCGCCCCCCCCCGTCCCCCGTCCCCCCCAGGCTGACGTCTCCCCCACAGGGCCTGGCGGAAGGACCCCCGCAAACGCTGGGGGCCCAGGCTGGAGCGCGTGGGACTGAGCGCAGGGCCTGGCCGGGGCCTCCGCGTCTCCTAAGGGCTGTGTTCAGGGAGCGGGCTTCAGAGGATGAGCCAGAGCCGGAGTCCGTGTGGCCTGCGGCCTCTCCCGGCCCGCCCGGCCTCCTGGTCTCGTCTCCCGCCCAGGGGGCCTTGCGGCCACCACAGTGGGCGGAGGACCGTGTGTAGAGACGTCCCGTCCCCATCTCACTCTCAGCTCTTGTCCTTGTGCCTCAAACCGCAGCTCCCCCGTCACCCTCCAACATCGTGCCCCCCCCGCCCCCGCCCCCCACTCCCCCGCCCCCAGCCCTGCCTGGCTGGGCCACCGTTCACACTGAGCCGGTCACCAGGCAGCGGCTCGTCTTCCTGGCGTCTCAGAGTCTGCGTCTCGTTCCTGTCATGCCTGCTGGTGCCTGCACGGTGCCCGGCCCCCGGCACAGGCCCTGCTCAGTGCGTGGCCCAGCGTGGCGCTGGCTCTCCGCCAGGGCGGGGGGTGAGGGGTCTGAGAGGCTAAGGCCGTCCCAGGCCGAGGGGCAGGCCAGTTGGGGATCTCAAAATGGGAGGACAAGGCGTCCGTGTCCAGCTCCAGCTGGTCCTCACGGGAGAAGCTCTGGGCCTTTCTCCACCGCAGTCTAGAGAGAGGGGAGTCCCCCGGGGGACCCCAGCCTTCACGGCTCCAGCTGGGCGATGGCGGGGTGCTGCCGCTGGCCTCGCCCCGCTGCTAGTTTCGCCGGACGGGGTGCCACATGGACACGGGCCTGCGCAGCGTGGCCAGCATCTGGTTCCAGTGGGTGGTGCCCATGCCGCTCGCCGAGGGCCCGATGATGACGTGGCCGATGTTGTCCCCGCGGCCGTCGCTGGTGCTCTCGGCCACCGTCACGCGGAGGGACAGGTCCTGAGGAAGGAGGGACATGAGTGCCGGGGACCAGGCCAGAGCCGGACGGAGGTCCTCCACGGCGTCCGGGCACCGCTCTCTGCACCCTCATCTCCGACCCGCCTAACCCCACCGGCTTCTGCTGCCTCCCTCCCTCCCTCCCTCCTTCCACAGCGGCAGCACCAGGCGGCCCAGGGGCAAACGCCACCTCGCCCCTTCCTTGCTGCGTGTCCTTGGGAAGCGACCTGGCCTCAGTTTCCCCATCTGTAAAATGGTGATAAGAGCCGAAACCGGTTTGGCTCAGTGGATAGAGCGTCGGCCTGCGGACTGAAAGGTCCCGGGTTCGATTCCGGTCAGGGGCATATACCTTGGTTGCGGGCACATCCCCAGAAGGGGGTGTGCAGGAGGCAGCTGATCGATGATTCTCTCATCGACGTTTCTAACTCTCTATCCCTCTCTCTTCCTCTCCGTAAAAAATCAATAAAATATATATTTTTAAAAAATGGTGATAAGAGTAGCCGTTCTCGGAACGAAATGAGTTACAATGTAAGGAACTTGGGAAGGCGCCTGTGCCCAGGCAGGCGTCAGCACGCCTGCGGTTCCTAGTGCCATCGTGGGTGGGACACAGCCGAGGAGGGGAAAGAGGCTGCATGAGGCCAAAGGAGTGAAGCTGGAACTAGAGCCAGGCCAGAGCTCCCGGAGTCTCCGGCCCCTGGAGGCTGTGGGGTCGTGGCCCTGGGACCCCCCGGGGGAGCAGGGGCCGCCCAGAGGCGCTGGGAGGTGCGCCTGGGTCAGGGACACCAGACTGAGCAGCACTCCGGGCTCTCCGGTGTGGACAGGGGCCCGGAGGGGGATCAGTGGGTGCCCGTGCAGCCCGGGGGCGAAGAGGCACAGAAGGACGTTCTGGCGGCCAGGGGTGCCCGGGATGGAGGGTGGCAGTGGGGGGAGGCGGCGAGCTCCCCACGCTCTGAGGAATGCAAACGGCACTCCTGGCGCGGCCCAGGTCACAGCGCCTGCCATCTCCCCGCCGTGGCCTGCGCTACCTCTGCTGCTCGGGGGTCACCTCCTGAGGGCGCGGGGCTGTGGGGGGCTCGGCAGAGCCTCTGCGGGGAGAACCTGGGAGGTTTGGGGCGGAACTCTGCCCCGGGGCCAGTGCTGGCTCCTCTCCTGCTCTCTGCCGTCTCCCCCACCAGACTTCAGCCCAGCTGAGCCCTCCTGCAGGGGGTGCCCTGGCCGCCCACAGCTGGCATGCTCCGAGCTGATCGGGATTGCTCAGGGACCTCCCTGCCTGGCCCCTGTGGGCACCAAGGAAGCAGTGCCCATGCCCCCAGCACCCACCAGAGGGCTGGGACCCAGGAGGTGCTACGTCAGTGCTTCTTGAGGCAAACCATCAGCGCCTGCAGGAGCCCGGGAGGCCAGGCCGCAGGGGCGGGGGGGGGACGTGGCCCCAGAGCCGCGGGGTGACCTGGCCGGCCCCCCCTCACCTGGAGCACGATGGCCGGCACCGAGAAGATCATGGCTTCGTTGAACACGGGGTTGGGGTCGTCCCTCTTCACGGCGGTCCTCTTTTTGCTCATCTTCCTCCCGTCCTGCAGCAGGTACACCTTGACGTAGGGGTCTGGGTGGGCGAGGGGGTGGCGGTGAGGGCCAGGGCCACGCTTCCCTGGCACGGCCCTGCCCATCCCAGGGGCCCGCTGCCTCTGAACTGCCCAAACCTTAGCGGCTGCCACTACGCCCCGTGGCCCTGCCACTGGCCCTTCCCTTCCTGTCCGGTAGCTGGGGAAACGGAGGCTCGCACGCAGAGAACAGCCGGGCCCAGCGCCTCTCCTCTCCCTGGCGCTCCGAGGACTTGGCAGACCCGCCGGTCGGTGGGAGCGCAGCCACCCGCTGAGTCAGCGGCACCTGCTCGGCGGGGTTTGACTCAGCCGTGTGGGGGGGCTCCGAGATCACAAGTCCCCGTCTGTCCTCACCTACCGCCCGCCGGCTGTCCTCGCTGCACCTGCTGGACCCCGGGTTCCCCCAGGCTCCTGTGGGCTGGGCTCCCCGGCCTCCGCCCCTGTTCCCTGGGGCCGGGGCTCCTGCAGACCGGGGCACTGGTCCCGCCTGGCGCGCACACCGTCCCAGCGGCCCTTCCCCCCATCTGAGATCTGGAATGCGGTCCAGCCTCTGGGCACCGAGCCTCCATCATGAGCTGCAGGTGGGAAGTGGGTGCCCCCCCCATGGCTCCTTCCCAGTGCCCCAGCCTTCTGCTCTCAGGTTCCATCTCTCTCCCTGCGGTTCCCGTGGTTCCCCAGCGAGACGGCTCTTCCCGCTGCGCACGGCTCCTGAGCTCAGCCCCCCGAGGAGCAGGCAGCCAGCGGGGCCTCACCCGCCGTGGTCTTGTCGCCGGTCCAGACGAGATTCTTGGCCTTCACCACCACCACCGTGAGGCGCTCGGCTGTGGGCAGGTAGCTGAGGGACAGCAGGATCTCGCCCACGGCGTCGGCGGCCTGCGGGACGGGCAGGTGGCTTAGAGGACTCTGTCCCCCGACAGGCCCAGGGACAGCCAGACGCTTCCTTCCCCACCGAGAAGCTGCTGTTCTTGGGGCCCCTCCTGCCAGGGCACCCGCTCCCCCTCCCCACTGCGGGTCTGGCCCTGGGGGGAGGCGGAGGGTGCCTGTCACCGGCGGCGTCCACGTGCAGTCACGTGGCCGAGGGGAGCACTCGGGAGGAGCACACAGGTCATTTTAGGGAGGAGACCATGTGCTTACACGACAGCCCTGCTCCAAGGCACTCTGACACCGACAAAGGCAAACTGCGGCGTGGCCTCCGTCTGAAACACCTCACGTACGCCCCTCCGGCTCGGAAACTAAGTCAGGAAGCCCTGGAGGGTAGAGCTTCCACGGGCCTGGAGGCAGGAGCAGTAGGAGAGCTGTAAACGGGGGTCGGGGGGTCTCATTTGCAGGCGGTGCATGGAGCCTCCTTGAGCGTGGCTCAGGTCTCTCTCTCTCGTTTCCTGGAGGTGCTGGTGTTCGGGGAGTGGCGAGGGCGACGGGGTCCCTCCTCTGGGGAGGGCAGGGGGGGGGGCGGACGTGCCTTGTTCTGGTCCTGCAGGTAGAGCCAGCCGCTGAAGGGCTGCAGCGGGAGGTCCAGCGCCGACAGCTTCAGCTCCACCGCGCCCGTGCTGACGTTCCGCTCGTCCTCGTCGATGCCGAACACCGAGAACCGCAGGCTCTTCTCCTCCAGGGCCGCGGGGTCCAGGGGGACGGAGAACTTCTCGTCGAAGAAGATGGTGGAGTAGGCGTTCCTCTGGATCTGCAGGGAGAAGGGCCCGGCGGACGGCGCGTCACAGGTGGGGCGGGGGTGGCGGCCAGGGGCCGTGGCCGGGTGGGAGCGCTGGATGGAGTCTGGTACCCAGGCCAGGGTCCTGGCTCTGCTGTCCCCACACCTCAGTGCCCATCCTTTCGGTGGCTCAGCTGGGATGGTCTAAAAGCCCCTTGGATGCCGAAACCGGCTTGGCTCAGTGGATAGAGCGTCGGCCTGCGGACTGAAAGGTCCCGGTCAAGGGCATGTACCTTGATTGCGGGCACATCCCCGGTGGGGGGTGTGCAAGAGGCAGCTGATCGATGATTCTCTCTCATCGACGTTTCTCTCTATCCCTCTCTCTTCCTCTCTGTAAAAAATCAATAAAATATATTTTTTTTAAAAAGAAAAGAAAAGAAAGCTTTGCACAATCTGACCCCAGCTAAGTCCCACCTTCAGTGGCCATGGCTCCAGAGAGCCCTCACAATGCCTCTGCTGAGCTGGTCTCCGTTGTTCTTGCATGTGTCCAAGTCCAGCTCTGGGCCGTGTGCAGTGAGTGCGGGTAACGGGGAGCCCAGAGCCATGGATGTCCCAGCCTGCACTGAGCTGCCTCAATGCTGTGGGACGGACAGACGGACGGCGTGACTGGGCAAGGTTGCACTGACTTAGTTTCCAAGCCCAGTCCTGCCCGGTGGGTTCCGCCGGCCTCCTCCCAGGAAGCTGTGGGCAGGCCCCCGGAAGGTGCACTGGCGGGCACTGCCCCCCTTCGGGGGAGCCGCCTGAGTCACTGCCTGGTGACATTTAGAGAGAGGAGCCTCCTTCCGGGCACCTTGCCTGGCGCTGGCTGGGCAGCCACCCACGCGCTGGGATCGGCGGGCTGGGACGTAAGGAGCCTGCCTTCTCAGGAATACATCTCCCAGCGCCTCCAGCTCCCTGAACACGCTCCTGGATGCCTGCTGGGCTGTGGGAGGCTCCAGCACGCTGCTCTCTGGGAGCCACGCCCCCTACGCAGTCGCTTGCTCGAGAACTGAGGGCTCCTTCTCCCCTCTTTCCCGCTCTGGGGCAGAAAGCCCGCCTCTGGAGCCTGACCTCAGCATGCAGGGTCCTCCTGATCTCCGGTTCCATCTCGCCTTCCTTTGGCCAAACCAGCCTCTGGGCTGTCCCCCGCTCTCCTATAGTCACCACCTTGGGCTCTGGGGTCAGCAGCCAAACCCGCTCTCCAGCGCCCCCCTCAGGACCCGCCTGGCTCTGCAGACCGTCCTGGGGGGAGGACCCGGCAGCCCCACTCACCCGGGAGATGCCCACGATCTGCTCCTCGGGCAGCAGGCTGATGCGCATGAAGCAGGACTCGAAGCTGGTCTCCTCCCGCTCCAGGAGGTCCTTCCCCTGCAGCACGGCCACGTGCAGGGCGTGCGAGGCGGCGTCGTAGTCCATGCCCACCTCCACCTGGCCCAGCGTGAAGTCCAGCCCGAAGGTGTTGCTCACGGAGGAGATGGAGTTGACGGAGTCCACAGACTGGGACTTGCGGAGGGTCCCGTAGGGGGCCAGGTCCAGCTCCCGGCCCATCAGCTCCAGCGGCCCCAGCTCGCTGATGCTCTCGAAGGTGTCCTCCATGCTGAGGCTGCCTTTGCGACTGGGTGGTCCCCGAGGGCTGGCCCGCTGGGCACCCCAGGCAGGCGCTCTCTGGAGGAGACAGAAGGGGGCAGGGGAGCATCGCAAGGGCAATGGTGTTGAGATGGCAAAGAGGTACCGCCACCCCTGCTCACTCGAGGCCCCTCCGAGTTCCCCTTCTGCAAACACGGGCGTGTCTTAGCTCAGAGGGTCCCCGTTTAATATTATTCACATCACTCAGCTTTCTCTGAAACCAGGATGTAAGAGAGCATTTTCTCAAAATGTTGATTGGTATAGCCGGAGTTCCACACATAAAGATGTGCATTGCAGTGATGTTTACACAAAGGAAAGAGAGTTAGCAATCTCAGTGCCCAGATCAGCTACTCCATAGCCGATCCAGCAGCCTCGAAGGAAGTTTTCAACATGAGAAAACTTCCATGTTGGGTAACACTCACCCTAATATTCCAATTTTCTTTTGTCTAAATTGACCTTAATATTTGAGAAAACAAAGGCCTCTGTACCACAAGCATCTCCCCTGTGGCTGCATCGTCTTCATTGCCATAATTTTAATGCCCCCCCCCCCCCAATCTCCCATTGAGCAGACAGCCATAATGTATTTTACAATCCCCGACTCTTAAGCATTTATGTTGTTTCTCTTATAAATAATGCAGCATTGAGTAGCTTTTGTAAAATCCTGACTTAGAGAACTCAGTCCTTTTGAAAGCATTTGACACTTGTCACCAAAATGCTCTTTGAAAACGTTGTGCCGATTGACAGTTCCCCCCACAGAGTGAGAGATGGTCCTCTCTGAAACACCAAGTGAGTTACATGTGGCACCAGATCTGGCAACACATTCGGGCTGTGTTCTCTGGTGTCTACACCATGTCAGAAAAGTTCTCTGCCAAGAATCAAGTGATGAAACACCCAGCAATATACACCGGGTGGCCAGATTATTATGATCTCTGAACGCATAATAATCTGGCCACTCAGTGTGTGTGTGTGTGTGTGTGTGTGTGTGTGTGTGTGTTTATTAGAGGCTCGGAGCATAGATTCATGCATGGGTGGGATCTGGTCAGCCTGGCCAGGGGGAGGGGACATGGGCAGTTGGCTGGCCTGCCTGCTGGTTGAAATCCTGGTCGAGGGAACAATTTACATATTAGCCTTTTTAAAAAAATATATGTTATTGATTTTACACAGAGAGGAATTGAGAGGGATAGAAAATTAGAAACGTCCATGAGTGAGAAACATCGACCAGCTGCCTCCCGCACCCCCCCACCCGCACCGGGGATGTGCCCGCAATCAAGGTACATGCCTTTGACCGGAATCGAACCTGGGACCTTTCAGTCCACAGGCCAACGCTCTATCTACTGAGCCAAACCGGTTTCGGCTACATATTAGCCTTTTATTATACAGGATATACACTGAGTGACCAGATTATTATGCGTTCAGAGGTCATAGTAATCTGGCCACTCAGTGAATACTGAGAGCTCTGTACATGTTTGTACTCCCTGATATGGTCATTCAACATCTGAGCATCTATTCAAAGTACATAATACCAACGAAGACACAATTTTACCTATAAAATACTCATGGCATCATTCATGATGGCATTTAGTAAATCATGGCAGATAAATAAAAAAGAATGTTGCATAGGCATTAAAATGATATTTATAATGGGTGTTCCACAACAAGGGGAAATGCTTCAGGTATAACTGAGATAAAAAGAGCAAGCATAAAATTCTAGCCCAGCTGGTGTAGCTCAGTGGTTGAGCATCAACTTATAAACCAGAAGGTCACGGTTCAATTCCCGGTCAGGGCACATTCCCAGGTTGTGGGCTCGATCAGCAGTGTGGGGCGTGCAGGAGGCATCGGATCAATGATTCTTATCATTGATGTTTCTATCTCTCTCCCTTTCTCTCTTAAATCAATAAAAATATATTAAAAAAATAAAATTCTAAGTAGAAATGACACCCATTGTGTAAAGACTATGGAAAAAAGACCGGGTGTGGAGGGTTAGATGAAAATATTGGAGCCCTAGCTGGTTTGGTTCAGTGGATGGAGCACTGGCCTGTGGACTGATAGGTCCCAGGTTCGATTCCAGTCAAGGGCACATGCCTGGATTGTGGGCTGGATCCCCAGGGGCGGGGGGCATGCAAGAGGCAGCCAATCGATGATTCTCTCATCATTGATGTTTCTATCTCTCTCTACCTCTCCTTTCCTCTCTGAAATCAATTAAAAAAAGATTCATTATATATAAAAAAGCAAGCAAAGTGGCTGCACCATTTTTAAAAATATTGGAAATAAATAAATAAAAAGGCTAATAGTTAAAAAAACAAACACACCAACGGTTAACTGTTGCTTGCCTCAGAGTGGTGGCATTTGGGACAGAGGTTTCTTTTTATCTATATTTTCCTATACAGGGCGTCTCCAAAAATGCACACACGTTAGCATCTGATAGCTCAATTTTGAAAATGAAATGTATTTTAATAAGCACTGCCTTATTCACAATGTGTATATACATTTTATGAGACACACTATATTTTTCACAGGATGGTTTTTTGAATTGAAACCATTCATTCATTCATTCATTTATTCATTTAACAAGTAATTCATGGATCCATTCCACAAGTGGGCACTGGGCTGGGCTGGAGACAGGAAAGAGGACCAGGGCCCTGTTCACAGGAGGGAACAAACCAGGAGGGAGCGAGGGGGGCGGGCGTGGAGGTTGATCCTGAGAGCAGGCAGTGGGGGCGTGGGGAACACCACTCTGTGCGCACCTGCAAGAGGGGAAGCCCCGAGCGCCATGAACACACGGGAGGAGGGGTATGCAAGAAGGTAGCCTTGAAAGTAGCTTGTCCTGTCTTGCAGTTTGAACAGAGAGGCGATTGGACTCAGAGGCGTGCCAACACCAGGTGCCTCTCATAAACTGTGGGCGGTTACAGCAGGGAAAAGGAGGCCCTTTTCTTGTCCGCACACTCACAAGTGTCATGGGTGTAATTAGCTAGTCATTGACGATGTCAATAAAAGGGAAAAGAGCCAGGGAAGCCAGGAATTGCTGAGCATAGTCAGCGGGCAAGGAGAGGCCTGTTTGTCTCACCAGCTTCACATCGTCCCTCCCAGGGGCCTCACACCCTCTCCCCCCTGCAGTGCTGGATTGCTGGGGGGTGAAGGGGGAGAGAGGCACAGAAGTCAGGGTGGTGCAGGGGACGTGCCTGCCTGTCAGCCTATCTCGGGGAACAATGGATTTGCTAGGAGCTCCCCCCCACCCCAAAAATAAATAAAAATACGAGGGCAGGGCCTCACCTTCTGCCTGGCCTCTGCGGAGGTCTCGCCGTACTTCTGCTGCAGGTACCTGTAGTTGTAGTTGGGGAATGGGGAGGGGCTGGGGAAGCTACCGGATGTCCAGAGCTTCCACAGGCTCACGGCCGTGATGCCCAGCAGCGCCAGGGCCCCCGCGGCGTAGACGCCCACCTCCCAGTCCGGTGGGCTCTTGATGACTAAAAGGCAAGAGCGGCCTCTCGTTAGGGGGGCCCGGGGCGCCGCTGTGGTTACAGACCCCCCCAGGGAGCGGGGGGCTTAGCACTGACTGACGCGCTCACTGAACGGTCACCGAGCGCCTTCTGTGGGGTAGGCGAGGGGCGAGGGGCTGGGGTCACGTTGCATAAGAAGACACTCTTCTGTGGTTTCTGCTTTTATCCTCTTTCCCCCCAAAACAGACGTTTCTACGGTGAGTGACACTTGGCCAGAGCAGGTGAAGAGCTGTGAAGCCTGGTTAACTATTCATGAGGCTTTACACAAATCGGGTTGTTCTTGCCGCTGGGAGTTCTCAGACCTCACCCTTCAGAGGACCTCTTGTTTCCAGATAATCAAAGCAGCCTTTTGGGGTTTGGGGGGAAAGGAAAGGGATCTGGGGGACAAAAATGATCCCTTTTTTTTTTTTTTTTTTTTTTTTTTACCTCAAACCTCATCTAGAACAACACGGTGTCCACTAATGCACGGATGGGTAAGTATATAGTATGTCTACGTAATGTTCAGCAATAAAAAGAAGGAAGCACCACCCTGGTCGGTGTGGCTCAGTAGGCTGGAGTACCAGCCTGTGTACCAAAGGGTCTCAGGTTCCATTCCTGGTCAGGGCACATATCCAGGTTGCAGGTTTGAGAGCGTGTGCAGGAAGCAACTGATCAACGTTTCTCTCTCTCCCACTCTCCCTTTCTCAAGCCCATTTAAAAAATATTTTTAAAGGAATGAACCTTGACCTATGTTACGTGAATGAACCTTGAAATCATTATATTAAGTGAAACAAGCCAGATACGAAAGCCCATATGTTGTATGATTCTATTTATATGTCCCAAACAGGCAAATCTGCATAGGCAGAAAATGGACGAGCGATTGTCAGGGGTTAGGGGGGTAGGGAGGAACGTGGAATACGGGGCCTCTTTTGGCATGATGACTATACTCCAAAAACTGATTGTGCCAACTTTAGCCAGAATTCATACTAAACGTATTCTGGAGAAGGGCGGGGCCCAGCCTGCAGCCCGGCACGTCCCCAGCACTTAGCTCCCTGTGAGGTCTCTGCTTTCTGCAGGGAGACCCGAGGCTGGGAGAGGCAAAAGAACACACTTATCTGTGGGCCCAAGGCCACAGGGCCGAGAAGGCCAGGTCACCCAGCCTCTCTGGGCCAGTCTCATCCGGAAAAAGAGGACCACAAAGCATCCCCATCCAGTGGTGCCACCCAGGGCATTCATTCTCAGGGAAACGTCCCTACAAGCTTCTGCCGCTGTGAGCCACCGAGGCCGTGTTTATAACAGCGGCCATCGGGGAAGAGCCTGGAGGCCTGCCCGGCCTGGCGCTGTCTCAGGAGGGAGGTCACCGGCCTCCGAGGATGAGAAGGGTGCCACTGTGGCGATGGAGAGGAACCTTTCAGGCAATGTGGAGAGAGAAACATCCATCCCCAACATGGTAGAGCAACATGGTTTTGATGTGAAAATCACACATCAAATGGCCAAGGGCTGGGCAGACTAGGGAGGAATGAGAAAAGCAAGAAGTAAGGATGCAGGGGCTGGGAGCAAGCGCTACTTCCGCTGCTTCCGTCTGACCCAGTTGCTGGAATGGAATGTGTGGTCTAAATAAAGCTACAGCGAGGATCTACAGAGGGACCCCAGGGCCAGTCCTGCTGGGGTCCCCGGGGAGGCTGGGGAGTGGGGGATGGGATGGGAATGTACCTTCTAAATTGGAGAGTGAGGGGCACACGTGAGGGCCTCCTGCTGAGATGTGCACAGTAGGGCCTGGCTGTTGGTAGGGGCAGGTCCGGGGGCAGGCACAGGCAATGTGCCCAACAAGTTGGCAAAGCAGAGCTCTGGCTTCGTCCCCCATTTCCCTGGGCTCCTCATTCCCTGGTCCCGGCCCTCAAGGCCATGGGACCTTGGGCAAGTCACTGACGGGCCTTACCAGTAATACAGGGCCATGATGGGGGTCCCACTGCTCCCTGCACCCCGGGCCTGGCGGGAGGGTCCTGGGGGTGGCATGCTTGCTGCTGGGACTCACCGCTCAGGTGGTGTTCGGCCACGTCCACGGCCATGACGCCCGCTGCGGTGGCTGGAACTAGGAGGGAAAGAGAGTCAGAGGAGAGGGCTTCAGCGGGCCCCTGGCCCCAGCCCTGGGCCTGGCCTCCCTGGGGCCCTCGTGCCTGTCATCCAGAGCTCACGCTGAGCCCTGAGCAGGGCCTGGGCAAAAGCAGGTGGCTTTTATGTTATTTTTTTTAAACAGCCATTTTTTAAATTGTTATTAACTATTACTATTAATTTTTAAAAGATCTAGTTGGCTTTATTCAATAATTCGTGAATCGGGCAGCATCCCATCAAGTAAATAGATTACTGCTCCCTATTATTATTTTTTAATCGTCATCCAAGGATATATTTTTATTGATTTAGAGAGAGAAGGGAGACACACACACACACACACACACAGAAACATTGATGTGAGAGAAACACAGATCCATGGCCTCCTGTGTGCACCCAGATCAGGGATGCAATCCACAGCTTAGGCAAATGCCCTGACCCGGAACCAACTCACCACAGCCTGTTGGTATATGCGACGGCACTCTTTCCAACTGAGTCACCTAACTAGGGCAATCTTAAAAAATGGTGTCCCCGAAACCAGTGTGGCTCAGTGGATAGAGCGTCGGCCTGCAGGCTGAAAGGTCCCGGGTTCGATTCCGGTCAAGGGCATGTACCTTGGTTGCAGGCACATCCCCAGTGGGGGGTGTGCAAGAGGCAGCTGGTTGATGATTCTCTCTCATGGATGTTTCTAACTCTCTATCCCTCTCCCTTCCTCTCTGTACAAAATCAATAAAATATATTTTTAAAAAAATGGTGTCTAGAGTTATCTTTAAGCACATGAAGACTTCACCTCAGGGTGATGCCCAGAGACAGTGGAATTCAGAGTCATTTTTACTATGAATAGATCCAAATATTGGAACCTGCTAATAGCTAACAACGCGTTGTTTGAAGCGCAGACGCTGCTGGGCGTCCTGTGTTTGTGTTTGCTAACTCTGGCGCCCCGGCCCACGCCCACCCTGCCAGCACCAGGCTGACCAGCGCCGACTCGGGGTGCTCACTGCGCTGTAAGGTGGACCGCACAGATGCAAGTGGCCCCCCGAGATTATAATGGAGCTGAAATTCCTACCCCCCGGCGACTTCACAGCCGCCCCGAGGTCCCAGCACAGCGCGTGAGAGTGGCCGCAGTATTCAGGACGGAAACACGCTACCCAGTGTGTAGTCCAGAGCTCAGGGTGGCCACAGAGCCTGGGCGTGCAGGGGCTAGAGCGTCTAGGGCTGGGGAGTGCACTCTGTGCTGTTTGCACAACCAAGAAATTGCCTAACGCCGCCGAAACCGGTTTGGCTCAGTGGACAGAGCGTCAGCCTAGGAACTGAAAGGTTCCGGGTTCGATTCCGGTCAAGGGCATGTACCTTGGTTGCGGGCACATCCTCAGCAGGGGGTGTGCAAGAGGCAACTGATGGATGATTCTCTCTCATCGATGTTTCTAACTCTCTATCCCTCTCTCTTCCTCTCTGTAAAAAAACAATAAAAATAAAAAAACAAAACTTGCCTAACGACGCGTTTCCAGTCAGTAAGTGACGTGTGACTGCACTTTGCTTTTTTAAAAAATATATATTTTATTGATTTTTTACAGAGAGGAAGGGAGAGATATAGAGAGCTAGAAACGTCGATGAGAGAGAAACATTGACCAGCTGCCTCTTGCACACCCGCTACTGGGGATGTGCCCGCAACTCAGGTACATGCCCTTGACCGGAATCGAACCTGGGACCCTTCAGTCCGCAGACCGATGCTCTACCACTGAGCCAAACCGGTTTCGGCATGAATGCTTTTGTCTAAGCTGGAAAAGGAAGATTTTACAATGTCCTACTCCCCGTCCTTCCCCTCCCTGCTCCACCCGCCATGATCTGAAAGCTCATACATGCCGTCACCTGAAGCCGGGGACTCTCACGGCTCTGTTATTGCTGTTGCTCAGAGGGGAGTTTGGCTCACAGACACGTTCTAAACGGGGTGGTGGCGGTGGAAAGGGGAGGCTGGGATGGACGGAGTGTGTCTCAGTTCAAGGGACATGGGAGGATAGGATAACCCCCCCTGAGTGTGTGTCCCTCACGGCTCAAAGGGGCAGCGCAGACAGGGGAAGTGGGACACACAGCGGGGGTGGGGGTGAGACCTGTGGAGTGCTTTCTGATGAAGGGATCCAGTGCCTTCCTGTTCCCAGGAATGCCCACCCAACGTGGCTGGGACTTCTGTCTCTTTAAAGAAAAGCCTGGATGGTTTGTGTACAGTTTCCTGATTTTTAAATGTTGCACCAGCTCACAAAAACGTAAACACCACTCAGGCGCAGTGTACACAAACAGTTGGTTGGCCTGTTCATGGCTAGCCTGGTCGTAACCCCTCCGAGCACTCTGAGGGCCCCCCTGGGACTGAGGTCCCATCGGAGGGCAAACATCTTCCTGGGCGTTTTATTTATTTATTTACTTTTAAATATACATTTTATTGATTTTTTACAGAGAGGAAGAGAGAGGAATAGAGAGTTAGAAACATCGATGAGAGAGAGTCATCGATCAGCTGCCTCTTGCACACCCCCTACTGGGGATGTGCCTGCAACCAAGGTACATGCCCTTGACCGGAATCGAACCCGGGACCTCTCCGTCCGCAAGCCGACACTCCATCCACTGAGCCAAACCGGTTTCGGCTTCCTGGGCATTTTACAGGATCCTGAGGGTCTTCCCAGTCTGTGGCTTTGGGGCCTTGATCCAAGAAGGGTTATCCAGAACTCATGGGAACTTATGAGGCGGTCCCAGGCGGGAGGCCCCGAGAAGCAGGGACGAGCGGGACCCAGGGAGAAGCCCTGCCAGGTGCACAGACAGCTCCTCGCCCCCAGCTCCCCTGCCGATGCTCCCGCTCCCTGAGATGTGGGTTGTCATGGTGATGGGAGGGAGGTGCTGACTCAAAGTGGAAGCTCATTCCTGGGACCTGGGCTGGAGATCATGAGACAGCGAACTCTGGCCAGACTCCTTACCCTCGAGCACAGTCCTAAGCCCTTGGCACATATATTTCTTATTTAACCCTCTGGCAGCCCCACAGGTAGGTCTGTGATCATCTCCGGTGTGCACAGGAGATCCTGAGGCATGATCAACCCGGGCCATCTGGCTCCACGCTCCTACCTCTGCGCTCAGCTTGCAGGAAGGCATGTGGTTTCAAAAGTTTCCTGAGAATGTGCACACCCAACAGGACGCCTGTCCAAGCCCGAGGTGGCCCCAGCCCCTGGCACCAGGGAGCCTGGACATTCCGAAACACGTCAACGCGCGCACACCGGCCCCAGCCTGCCTCTGCCCTGCTGGGAATCCCCGACGCCAGTGGCTTTCCTTCCTGCTCGCCTGGCACAAGCTGACTCTGTGAGAGCGGGCCGCCCTGGCATGGCCAATGCCAGGGGCGGGGAAGTCCCTGCAGCACGAACGCGCGGCTGGGACACTCTGCTGATCAGATCTCTGGCTGTCCACGGGCTCCCATCTCCTCACGGCCGGTCCCGTCAGACCCCAGACTCCCGCCTGCGCACCTCTCTCCTCCCTCCCCTCCTCGCAGCCCCCTCCTCCCTCCTCCTGGGAGCGGTGACCTCAGAGCCGGTGTGAGGGGCTCCGGGCACACCCAGGCCAGCAGCTCCCGCGGTGCCAGAGCACACCTGCCCCTCACCAGCCCGGAGCCTCGGTTGTCCTGTCTGTAAAACGGGGCTCCTGCTGAAACAGAGTGTCGGTCTGCGGACTGAAAGGTCCCGGGTTCGATTCCGGTCAAGGGCATGTACCTTGGTTGCAGGCACATTCCCAGTACAGGAGTGTGCAAGAGGCAGCTGATCGATGATTCTCTCTCATCGATGTTTCTAACTCTCTATCCCTCTCTCTTCCTCTCTGTAAAAAAAAATCAATAAAACATATGTATATATTTTTAAAAACAACAAAACGGGGCTCCTAACCGCCCTAGCAGGGTGCCAGTGGGGTGGAATGAAAAGTGAATGTGGTTGGGCTCGGCCTGGCCATTTGTCCAAAAGCACCCCCCTGCCCCGCCCTCCCGCCCCTCTTTTGAGCTGTGGAATCTCACTGGCAGCAAGGCCAGCCTGCAGATGTGTTTCATTTGTCTTCAAGTGAATCATCAACATTAAAAATTGGTAAAATTTATTAAAAAAAAAAAATCCTGGCTTCCTGTTAAAAGTTAGGTCTGGGGCTAGTGGGTCTGTGGCCCCTGTAACCCCGAAGACAGCCAGCCCTTCAGAGCTGGCGCCGAGAAGGCTCTGCCGCTTCAGCCAGGGCACTTGCTCAGCAGGCCTGGACCTCCCTCCCCCTGTCCAGTCCGCTGCCAGGACCTGAGGGAAACAACCCCCGGGAGCCCAGAAAGCAGGTCTGCAGAGGAATGAGGGGGAGGGGACGTTCAGAAAGGTTAAGGGAGTCGCCCAAAGCCATGGAGCCAGCAACGGGGGAGCTGGGCTTGGCAGCCATTAGTAGCCACAGCCCCCGTGCCAAGGAGTTCATCTCCCCCAAGACCCAGCGGGGGCACATCCTGCTATCGATCCCACTCCACAGAGCAAAGGGAGGCTCAGAGAGGGCAGTGGACTAGCCCAAAGTCACATGACCCGTGGGCAGAGAACAGAGACCGAGCCAGCTCTGGCTCTGCCTCAGCTCCCTTCTTACCGGCAGCACGCACTGTGCCTGAGCCCCCCGGCTCCCTCGGGCAGCCTGGAGGTCTGCCGGGCAGAGGGCCTGCTGCTTTGGCTCGGAAGAGGATGCTGAAAAGGCACATCCAGGGCCAGGGCAGCCTGTGACTGGAGCTCCCTCAGCTTCTGACACACAGGAAATGGGGCTCAGCGGGGGTGAGGGATGAGCCAGGGCTGCCCCAGACCCGCATCTGAGTTCCTCAGACCATGCCTCCTTCCTGGTACCACCCCTCACAATCTATCCGTCCCAGCCCCAAAGCCCCAGCCCCTCACCTGCATGGAGCGTGCTCCTTAGAAACAGCGCCGGGTGCACACCCAGGCGTAATCGTATCTCTCTGATGCCGTAAGCGTCAGACATCACAGACGCTAACGCCTCACCACCACGCCTGGCCCGTAGCGGGCACACAGTACGGGTCTGATGATTGAACGGACAAATGGATCCCCGTTTTAAGGATGGAGACGCCGGGGCCCCCGGTCACTCCGCATATGACTAACAATCCCGGGCCTGGCGCCAGGGAGCGGTGGATGTGGGCCCGGGCTCCCGGCCACCGTGCCACATCCTGATGAGGCTTCTGGGGGCGGAGGTGGGCGGGAGGAACTGCCTTACAGAGTCTGACCACAGTCAGGGCCCCTCCGGAGCCGGTCAGAGGAACGGCTTTCCAGGAATTCCGGGCCTCTGCAGGGGCCTGGGGCCCTGTCTCTGCTCTCCCGCCCGTGTCCTCGCTCACTGTGTCTCTAACCACAGCTCGGGTCAGCAGGGGTCCGCTCCCTGGCCCCTCGCCCTGAAGCCAGCAGGCAGAGGGGAAGGTCGGGGCTCCCAGGCTGAGAAACTCTTTAGGTCTGAGGTTCCTTTCAAGGGCCCCCGTTTGCTGAGATCACCCCGTCCGACTCCTCATCCCCCCGGAGCCCACAGGAACACAGTGCGGAGGCCAGGGTGGTGGCCAGCATTTGCTGGCCCCCCTAGGACTCGCCATGGATTATTTCAGCCAAACCTCCTGCCGTCCTGGGGGGGGGGGGCGGGCTGCGGCTTTGCCTGTGGCATTTGTGGGCAAGAACACGGAGCTGCGGGAAAGGACCTGCCCACAGGCACCAGCGCGGACAGGAGGCCAGCCCAGGCGTGAACCCCAGTGGGCTGGGAGCCCCCATACTCCCAGGCTGATGTGGGGGAGGTGGGGGCTGGCTGAGCTGCTGGAGTGGATGGACTCAGGCCTGGTCTGGGTGAGCCTCAGTTTCCCTGTTTCTGGTAGGAAGCACACAGCTGCTCGCTCGCTCTCTCTCCTCTCTCTCTCTCTCTCTCTCTGAACCTGTCGCCCCTGGCTGGGGGAGGGCTGAGCTCAGGTGCAGGTTTCCCTGGCGCTCTGGAGGTGGGGGGTTGTGGGGGGGGCCTCCCTGACTGCAGCCCCGGAAGGGGGGTCACCAGATTCCTGGCTCAGGGTTCCTCCACCCAACAGGCCTGCTCCAGGGTCTCAAGTCCCCCCCACTTGCAGCCCATCTTCACCCCCAATCCACGGTCTGCCGGGCAAGTCCCTCTGCCTGACAGCAGCGGAGTCCCAGGTCCGAGCCCCCCCACCCCCCCAGCCAGACCCGGCGGGGCCCTGGGCGGGGGATCCTCCCCGGCTCCGGGCCTCCAGGCGGCGGGCGGGGTGCGACAGCCTTTAGGGCCGGGGCGCCCCAGCCCCGGGACCCCCGGGGATGAGGAGGGGGCGCGGGGAGCGGCGGGGACGGCCGGGCGCTGTGAACGGGAGTGCGGGGCGCTGGCGGCGGGCGCCGGGCGGCGTGTAAATGGCCGGAGCCGCGGGGAGCACACGCGGAGCGGCCGTGCGAGCGCCGTGCGCGGGGCAGCCCGGTGGGGAGGGCGCCCGCGTGCGTGTGCAAGCGTGTGCCGGGCGTGCGTGTGCCGGGCGTGCGTGTGCAAGCGTGTGCCGGGCGTGCGTGTGCCGGGCGTGCGTGTGCAAGCGTGTGTCGGGCGTGCGTGTGCCGGGCGTGCGTGTGCAAGCGTGTGTCGGGCGTGCGTGTGCCGGGCGTGCGTGTGCAAGCGCGGGGGGCGTGCAGCCCATGGAGCCCGGGGTCCTCAGCCGGGGACCGGGCCCCGCGTGCGCCGGCGCCGTGCGCGGGGCTGCGGGGGGCGGCCGGGCGCGTACTCACCCGCTCCGGCTGCGGCTGCGGCTGCGGCTCCGGCTGTGGCTGCGGCTGCGGCTGCGGCTGCGGCTCCGGCTGCGGCTCCGGTCCGGCGTGTCCCTGGCTCCGGCTCCGGGTCCGGCTGCGGCTCCGGTCCGGCGTGTCCCTGGCTCCGGCTCCGGGTCCGGCTGCGGCTCCGGTCCGGCGTGTCCCTGGCTCCGGCTCCGGGTCCGGCCGGCCCCTGCAGCGCGCATGCACCGCGCGGAGCCGGGCGCCCCCCGCAGCGCCCCCCGCAGCCTGGCGGCTCCCGGGAGCGGCGGGTTCGGGCCGGGCGGGCCGGGCCGGACCGGGCCGGGGCGGCGGACGAGCGGCGCCGCAGTCGGGCTCGCTCCCAGGGCCGGCGCGCTCCCCGCTCCCCCGCCCGCCGCCCCTGATTTAAAGCGACAACCGACCGGCCGCTCCCGCTCCGGCCGGAGCCGGCGGCCCCCCCGCCCCGTGCGCCGCGGGTCCCGGCGGGGGCTCCGCAGGCCCGGCCCGCCATCGCCCCAGCCCGGGGACGGACGGGGCCTGTGCTCCCGGGGCTCCGGAGTCCGTCCCGTCCCCCCTCCGGGCCTCGGTTTCTCTCTCTGGCCCCGCGCCCGCGGACCGGAGAGCGGAGGGCAAGCGGAGCCGGAGGGCCTCCTCCTCGGATCGGACACGGACCCGCGCCCCCCGGGACCGGCTGTCACTGAGGCCAACCCATCCCACCGAACCCCACTGCGGCCCGGCGGGTCCCGGCCACTCCGTCATTTTTCACGCGAGGAAACAGGCTCACAGGTGCCATGACCTTCCCAAGACCGCAGAGCCAAAGGCCAGCACCGAGGCCAGAGCCCAGGCCTGTGCGACTTCACAGCTCTTACTCTTTTTTTTCTTTTATTATTTAATATATCTTATTGATTTTGTACAGAGAGGAAGGGAGAAGAATAGAGAGTTAGACACATCGATGAGAGAGAAACACCAATCAGCTGCCTCCTGCGCGCCCCCCACTGGGGATGTGCCCGAAACCAAGGTACATGCCCTTGACCGGAATTGAACCTGGGACCTTTCAGTCCGCAGGCCAAGGCTCTATCCACTGAGCCACACCGGTCTCGGTTCAAAGCTCTTCTTCTTAACCACCCAGGGGGTCATGCTTTCTCCCCCAAAGCAGTGACTGAATCTTTCAGGAGGTATTGGTGATGCTGATGCCCCTTCTCCCCCCCCTCTGGAGGGCAGGCAGGGGCTGGTGTGGGCGATCTCCCATCTCCCAGAACAGGCCCCCTGCCCTCACAGGCTGCGGGGAGGCACTCACACAATGAGAGGGGCCAGGCTCTGCTTGGGACCCTGCCACTGCCGTGGGCACAGGAGCCAGGAGAGCAGGCCTGGTGGGCTCCTGAGGACCTGAGGTGGGCTGGGGAGCGGGGTGCAAAGGAAGCAGTGGTCCTGGACCCGGTACCCTCCAGGCCCCTGGGGCTGCCCTCTCCAGAGAAGCTGGGTCTCTGCTGGCTTTGGGGGGAGGGGCTTCCTTTTTTAAAATTAAATTTATTAATTAAGGTATTACATATGTGTCCTCATCCCCTCATTACCCCCCAATAACTCCCCCACACACACACACACTCATGCCCTCACCCCCTGTTGTCTGTGTCCATTGGTGATCTCGAAGGCAGCGCCCAGGGGAGCCATTAATGCAGTCCCACTCTCACCCACAGGGGGCGCCCCTGTTTTCCGTTCATTTTCTGGACCTGGAAGAGGACGGGAAAGGGCGGTCAATATAGCCTTTGGGGGAGGGGGTGCTCAGTGAACTCCACCTCCACAGCCACAGGCAGTTGGGGTGACAGCCCAGTTCCACACGGGGACCCCCGGGCTGGGCGATGGCGTCCCAGTGTGGGGAGGAGTGGTGACGGACGCACCATCCACACGTAAAAGGACCCTCTCTGGTACGGCTTCCTCTGGAGCCACAAAACGGTGAAGTGCAGCTGGTCTGGCTCTGGGGTCGGCCTCTGGGGCCGAGCGTGAGGGGAGAGCTGGTCAAGTTCAAGTTTAAAAAAACCTTCAATGATCAGAAAAGCGTGCCCATGCGCACCGAAGGCGGGGCCCACGCGTGCCAGCAGCAGCCAGGTGTGAAATGCATGGTGGCACGGTCACAGGGGCACACCCTCGGCGGTGGGGAAACAAGACTGCCGCAGCCCGCAACCAGGGGGATAAGGTTCGCTGTGATGCCGAGTGAAAGAAGCCAGACACCCGCTGAAATCGGTGTGGCTCAGTGGATAGAGCGTCGGCCTGCGGACTGTAGGTGTCCCAGGTTCGATTCCGGTCAAGGACATGAACCTTGGTTGCGGGCACATCCCCAGTAGGGGGTGTGCAGGAGGCAGCTGACGGATGATTCTCTCTCATCGATGTTTCTAACTCTCTATCCCTCTTCTTTCCTCTCTGTAAAAAAAAAATCAATAAAATATATTTTTAAAAAGAGAGTGTATGACCTCGCACAGTTATGATGTGTATGCTTTCCTGGGCGTGTGATTCACTTCAGTACAACTTACAGCCCTGGCGGCAGCTTGGTCGGTTAGAGCTCTGACTTGATGACCAAGGTTGCCATCCCCAGTCAGGGCACATGCAAGAATCAACCAATGAATGCATGATAAGTGGAACAACAAATCGGTGTTTCTCCCCTTTCTCTCTCCCCTTATCCCTTACTCTCACTCTGAAAATCAATCAATAAAAAAAATGCAACTTAGAAAAAACAAGGGATTCTGGTCCTTATGTGGCTCAGCAGCCCTGAGCCGCCTGACCTGCGACACCACCCCCCTCCTGCCTCAGGCCTCCTTGTGCTCCTGACAGCTGCCAAGCCTTTTCCTCCTCAGGGACTCTCCCTGGCTGGTCCCTCTGCAGGGAAAGCCTGTTCTCTCTTCTCGCCCAGACCGTTTCCTCCAGCTTCTGTGCACCACCCTGAGGAAACCAGCCCTCAGCACACGCTGTTTTCCTGCAGAGCACCAGCCGTCACCCGCCACTGCATGCGTGTGCAGTTCATTTTCTGCATTCACCACTGGACGAGTGACCACCAGCCCGAGGGACATTCACTATGTGCCCAGCGCGGTTCTAGCAGGTGCGAGGCCTTGAATCCTCGACCCCCCTGGGGAGATGCTAGTCTTAGTCCTGCTTGGTAATTAAGGCTCAGAAAGGCTCAAATGGGGCCCAGAAAGGTTACGTAACTGGCTTGTGGTCACAGAGCTGGGCAAGAGCAGAGCCAGGAATTGAATCCGTGCATCCTGGCTTCAGAATCCCTTCCTTTAATTCTACACTTGGACGGATCTTGTCTTTCTTGTCCCTGTGGTATGTCTGGGCCAGTGTTTGTTGTGTGGATAAATGGAGGAAAGGTTGAATGAAGTGCCAGTGGGAAGTGGGGGGAAGCGTGGATCGGAGAGTGGGTGGTGAGGAGACGGGGTAGGGTATGGTATCTGGAGTCCCAATCACAAGGTAACCAGGGACCTGACAGCAGGTGGATCAAGGTCATGGCCTTACCCATGTCTGCTGCTCTCCTGCTTTCTCTCTACCTATCTCCAGACGCTTCCTGAGCTCTCTGTTCAGGCTTTCCTGCCCCTGGCCCTCCTCTGCCTCCTTGTGAATATGATGCTTCTCTCCAGCTATGAGCTCCCTGGCCTTCCCAGCCAGGCCTCCCTCGCCTCTCCAACCCCTTTCCGCCCACCCCCGCCCCCGGGATCCAGAGCCCTCCTTGCCAGCCAGGGAGGAGGGAGCGACAAGACCCTGCTGTTCTCACGGGGTTCCTGGTCACACAGGGAGAGACTTTATGAAGATCAAAACGCCAGACACACAAAGGGATTCTGGTCCTGGAAGCCGGCGCCTGTCGGCATGCTTCACACACTCTCCATGTTCATCATCTCCTTTGAACCTCCGGGTTGAGAAACCCAAGTTCAAGAAAGCCTAAATCACGGGCCACCAGGAGCCCCCAAGACCTGGCCCCAAATCCTGAGCCCTCTCCCTCCACGGAGCCCGGAGCCCCCCTTTGTTCCCGATGGAGGCTCCCACCACCCCACGCCCGAGGGCCCCCACCCTGCTGACCTTACGCACCATGGGGAGGAGGGGCCCCGAGTACCTGTGAGCACAGCTCCTGGGAGAGCTGCCCGCTGGGATGCGGACAGCAGGATGCTGTGGGCCTAGGACCAGGATGGGGGGTGCCGATGGGGCAGCTGGGAAGGCAGGAGGTGCCAATGCTGCCCTGGGGGCAGGAACTAGTTCTCCCCACACCAGCCTGGCCTGCCTGCTTCCCGGTGGCCACTCCCCGCCCCAGCGGCCATCGAGACACCGGGGCTGCCTTCCTCGCCCGCAAAGGAGAGCCCTAGGTCAGAGGAAGCTGCCACTGGCCTTTGGGAGCCTGCAGCTCCGGATGCAGGGCAGAGGGGGTGCAGGGCAGAGGGGACGCAGGGCAGAGGGGGTGCAGGGCAGAGGGGACGCAGGGCAGAGGGCCCGGCTCCAGGGCAACCTGTCTGCCTGCCCCTTCCCTGCTGCTGGGTGTCAATGTGCCCGCCTGCCTCTGTGGCTCAGAGGCCCAGGGTTGGAGTGACTCTCCCCACCCCACTTCCGGCTCCATCCAGTTCTCCGGGTCCATGTTCACGGCCTGAGATGTCCTGTCCTTGCCTCCATCCCTGTCTTTGGCAATTTCAGCCTCCAGGCAATGTCCAATTTGGGCGTGTGAGGCCACAGCAGCCTGTGGGGGTCAGGACAGGACACCTAAGTCCATTCGTGACCTCAGACTCAGCCTTGTTGCTGCCTCTCTTTAAGTCAAAACAGCCGTAGGGTCAGCCCCCATTTCCTCCCTCCCCCCTCCCCCCCCCTCCCCCCTGCCCGCTAATCCTCGCCATCATCCTTTATCCTGGACCTCACCCACAAGACCCCAGCCTCCACCACGTCCCAGCTGCCAGGAGCCATGCCTTGCCCACAGCCAGGCCCCAGGGCCCAGGCAGAAGCCAGCCTGGCAGGGCCCCGCCCCCAGCTTCTCTGGTGCTGTGGGAGGCAGAGAAGCCAGGCTGGTTCCTGTGGGGCACCTGTTTCCTCCACTCCAGCCCCCAGCCCCCAGGCCCCTGCTCTGGGCACAGAGTTTAGCCATCTAGTCACTGAGTGAACCAGACTCTTCTCTTGCAGCCAGCGTTTTCTGAGGGCGCGTGGAGGTGAAGGAGAGGCCGTCCTGATCCCTGGCTGAGGGCAGGGATGGTGCCGGGGTTGGATTCTGCCCGCAGATATCCAAGTCCTAATCCTCAGGCTTGTGCACGCCGCCTGATTTGGAAATAGGTCTTCGCAGAAGTTACGTAATTAAGGATCTCTAGGTGAGGTCACCTGGGACTGAGAGTGGGCCCTGAATCCCAGGACGGGCGTCTTTGTAAGAGAAAGGGGAGGCCCTGGCTGGTATAGCTCCGTTGGTTGGGCATTGGCCCGTGCACCGCAAGGCTGCTAGTTCGATTCCTGGTCAGAACCTATGCCAGGGCTGCGGGCTCCGTCCCTGGTGGGGGGCGGGCAGGAGGCAGCCTAGGGATGCTTTGCTCCCCATCGATGTTTCTCTCTTCTAAGATTCAATAAAAAAAAAAATTTTTTTAAAAGAGAGAGATCACAGATATAGAGACCCGAGGGGAAGAAGGCCACGGGGAGGAGAGGCAGGGACTGGAATGAGGAGGCGCCAGGCCCCCGGATGCCCAAGGTGGCCAGTTGCCGCCAGCAGCTGAGAGAGGCCTGAGATTCCACCTCAGCCTCGTCTGGAGGAAACCATGCTGCTTACACCGTGACCTCGGACTCCTGGCCTCCAGACCTGTGAGAGGATCAATGTCTGTTGTTCTAAGCTGCCAGGTTGGTGGCCATTTGTTGCCGCAGCCCAGGAGCTAAGACAGATGTCCGGAGCCTCTGCCAGAGGCGCTGAGCAGAGTGCCACGCGGCCGGAGGCACAGGGGCCCTGGCCTGGGGGTCATACTTCCTGGGCCTGTACCCTCGCCCAGAGGAGATAAGGGCGCGGTGGGACCTCATAGGTGAGGGTCTAAGGCAGGACCACTTGGCGTGTTGAGTGCCCAGTTGGCTGGCAGGGCCTCAGCCCAGGGAGAGGGGTTGTGGGCAGGAGCCTAGAAGGGTGGATGGAATGGGCCCAAGGGCTGAAGGCTGTCAATGCCAGGGTTGGAGCAAAGAGAAGGGGGTAGAAATGGGGCAGTTCAGGGAGGCCTCGGAGACGCTTCAGGGAGGCAGACCCCCTCCCCCCCAATTGGGTGCACCCTTAGAGGTAATGAGCTCCCCACCAAGGGAGGTGGGTAAACAAGAGTGCTGACAGAGACCACAGCCCCAGATTCAAGCCGTGATGGCTGGTCCCTAAGACCCTCTCTATCCTGAGACCCTCCATGTTGCCTGGCTGGGCCCCGCTCCTCAGCAGCCAGCGCTGGCCTTCCCCCTTTCCCACTCTGGGGCTCAATCATACAGAATTACTCTGACTCAAGCCACCCACAGCCCCTTTCCCGCCGGACCCGGAGCCTGTCAGACGTGGTGCCATCCCTCGAGGCCCGGAGCTCAGGACAGCAGGTCCATTCTTGCCTCTTTCCCCGGAGGAAAGGCTGACCCTCCTGGACTTCCAAACCCCAAAATGTCTCCCAGTGCCTCCCCCCTCGGGAGAACAATCCGTGCCGCTCTGAGTGTGTGCGAACCCCATGCTGAGCTTCTCCATCCATTAAGCTCTACCAAGTGGGTTAAGAGCAGCAAAGTCACTGTGTGACCCTGGGCCAGTTCCTCACCTTCTCTGTGCTTCCGTTTCCTCACACGGCAAGCCAGAGCTCTTTAGAGACAGCCCAGGACCCGCCTCCACCTCAGGTTGGCAAGAGCCTGCAATGTCTGATACCGGGGGAAATTATTATTGCCTTCAACATAGGAAAGGAAAAGAAAATATAAGGTAATATCTGACCATGCACAGTTATTTTGTCTACTAGTCAGCTGCTTCTCAGCAAAGCGTGATAAAGAATTCTATTTTGCTGAAACCGGTTTGGCTCAGTGGATAGAGCGTCGGCCTGCGGACTGAAAGGTCCCTGGTTCAATTCCCGTCAAGGGCATGTACCTTGGTTGTGGGCACATCCCCAGTAGGCAGCTGATTGATGTTTCTCTCTCACTGATGTTTCTAGCTTTCTATCCCTCTCTCTTCCTCTCTGTGAAAACTCAATAAAATATATATTTTTTTAAATGCCAAAACTGGTTTGACTCAGTAGATAGAACGTCGGCCTGCAGACTGAAAGGTCCCTGGTTCGATTCCAGTCAAGGGCATGTACCTTGGTGGCAGGCACATCCCCAGTAGGGGGTGTGCAAGAGGCAGCTGATCGATGATTCTCTCTCATCGACGTTTCTAACTCTCTATCCCTCTCTCTTCCTCTCTGTAAAAAATCAATAAAATATATATACTTTTAAAAAGAATTCTATGTATTTACTGTACAACGTGGACTAATTTCTGTGGAGTGTCAGGGGACAAGGCCTTCGGTAGTAGAAGGGAACTGGGGGCCCAGGAGAGTCTTAAATGGCCCTCACAACCTTTCCCCTCTTTCCCAGACCTGGAATTCGCTGGGCTTAGTCTGTTCCGGGACGTGCGATCACAAAGGTGTGAGCCCCATTGCCGACAGGTCCCTGTTCACAGAGGGCAGGAGAGCCACAGGAATACATCTCTGCACCCTCCCCAGACCGCGAGCCACCTCGGAGGCGGCTCTCCCTCTGGGCACCCGGGTGGCCCTCCTTCAGGGCACCCAGGGGAGGTGTCAGGACCTGTGGGCGCAGGCAGGATGCACGGCAGCCACAGGAAGCATTTGGAGGTGGTGGCAGGTGTCGCCAGCAGGGAGCTGGGCAGGCAGCTGACGCAGCCGGAACAATCATAGCACGACGGAGGAGCATGAGCTCAGGGCTTGGCCAGCAGCCTGAGAAGGGCGGGGGGACCAGCGGGTCGGTGGGGCTGGAAATGCCCACTGCCAGTTCAATCCCAATGCCGGCTGTCTGGACACCCCTCCCCCGCCTGGCTCTAACCTGTCCTGCCCACCCCTCCGGCCCGCACCTCAGAGCCGGAGCCTGGTGTTGGCCAGGTTGCTAGCTCCAGAAACACGCCATGCCCTCCCCCTCACGGGAGCCCAGGATAGAGCTGTCACGGATGTGTCCACGGGGGAGGCATGAATGAGGGAAGATTCTTCTTCGGGGTAATTCTTAGGACTCTTCTATTTCTTCCTCTCGCTGGGAGGTGGCGAAGCAGTTTCTCTAAATGTCTCTCTCGGTGAGCCAGCAATCACAGGTCAGATATTTCCACTGTTTTCTCACCTGGCACTCAGCCTCTCATCTACCCTTCCCCATCTGCCAGGCCGCACACTTTGAGCTTCAGACACCTGCCCTTCTGATGATTCCCCAGCCCACCCCGCTCTTTCTCAGCTCTGAGCTTTTCCTCGATGCAGTTCCCTTTGTTCGGAATGTCCTCTCTCTGCTTCTCTCCATGCACACTCCTCTTCATCCTTCAAAACCCTCTCTTGTGAAGCCCTCCATCATTGCTCCACCAAGTCAGTCACCCTCCTCTCCCACAGTCCAGGGACCCTCCCTCTAGTCCATCCCGTACACCACAGTGTGTGCCCTGGAATTATTTGTTTCTGTGCTGTCCCTACTGGGTGCTGGCCAATTGAAGAGTATAGACACCAAGCCTTATTTTTTAAAATATATTTTATTGATTTTTTTACAGAGAGGAAAGGAGAAGGATAGAGAGCTAGAAACATCAATGAGAGAGAAACATCAAACAGCCGCCTCCTGCACACCCCTATCGGGGATGTGCCTGCAACCAATGCACATGCCCTTGACTGGAATTGAACCTGGGACCCTTCAGTCCGCAGACCGACACTCTATCCACTGAGCCAAACCGGTTTTGGCACACCATGTCTTATTAATCTCCTGATCCTTTAGCAGGTGCTTTGTCGATATTTAAAAACCAAAACCTCCGATTTACGAAGGCCTTCAGTGCCAGGCAGGGTTCTCAGCGCATTACGTATGTGTATTGACTCATCTAACCTTTCAGCACGCCCACTTTACACACTCAGCAGCTTTTTTCTGCCCCCGCCTTCACGCACTCGGCAGCTGAGGTTGTCTTGGCGAAACAAGATATGGAAATAACCCCAGTGTCTGTCGATAAGTGACTGGCTAAGCAGATGTATATACAGGGGTGGGCAAAAGTAGGTTTACAGTTGTGAGTATGAGAAAGTTTGTTCTTGTATTTTTATTTATTTATTATTGGCGTGGGAAAGACGCTCTAACCCACAGAGCCACCGGACGGGGCTCCCTTTTTCTTCTTCACCCTTTCGGGCCATTTACTCTCCAATCCCCAGCAGGTAACAGAAATCCACTCAAGACAAAGCAAAGAGGAAGGTTTATCAAAAAGACCCATCCTTTGAAGGTACCCAGGGCAGCAGTGCAGCCAGGTGTCCACAAAGGACAAGAGTCAGGGATGGAGGGACTGTCATGAGCCCCAGGGGCTCCCCTCTGTGGCCAGCCTTCCTCCTTCTCCACAGCCCCTCATGGGGAGGAAGGCATGCGTTTAGAATTCCAGCCTGTGCCACAGACAGAGCTCTGATTGGCTGGCGTGGGTCAGCTGATCAACCCTGCTCCAATCCCCAGGCCAGAAGTGTGGTCATGTGACACAAACACAGCTGCCCAGACCCAGGGCGCAGTGGAAGAGCGAGGGATGCTGATTTTACAGAAAACCATACCTTGTGGCCTGCCCCTCCTCACCTCACTCCTCCTGCGGGATTTAATCCCTCTGCCTGTTACTACCCTTCCTCTGTGATAGATCTTCCCTTTCCCCAACTGATGGACGGAGTATGACGTAACCTGCACCTGCGGCCTGGACACTCCTGAGCACCTAACCAGGCACCTGTGCCCCCTGGCCTGTGCCCCGTGGCCTGTGCCCCGTGACCTGTGCCCCGTGGCCTGTGCCCCGTGGCCTGTGCCCCGTGGCCTGTGCTCCGGAGCAGGTGGTGGTGCCCTGAGGATCTGGGAAAGAAACCCACTCTGACAACTTGAAGGTGTGTCCTCGAGGCAGGAGACGGTGGCCAGGGCTCACTCAGGTGAGGATGAACCTCTGCTAAGGAAGCCTGGACGCGGCTACTGGCCACGCCGCCCACTTCAGAGTTTGTGGTCAGACCGTCCTGTGTGCGGCTCTCGGTCCCCAGCTTGTCGGTGTGTTTCATGCACAGGAGGGAGCGGCCTGGCACCCCTCACCCACGCACCTCACTGACTCCTCAGGACCACCCACCATGCCGGTCCCCTTAGTGTCTCCATTTCTTTCTTAAAAAAAAAAATAAATAAATAAATTATATATATATATATATATATATATATATATATATATATATATATATGTTGGTTTTTTACAGGGAAGAAGGGAGAAGGCAGAGGAATAGAGGCTAGCAACATCGATGAGAGAGAAACATCAATTAGCTGCCTCCTGCACACCCCCTACTGGGGATGTGCTTGCAATCAAGGTACATGTCCTTGACCGGAATCGAACCTGGGACCTTTGAGTCTGCAGGCCGACGCTCTATCCACTGAGCCAAACCTGTCAGGGCTGTCTCCGTTGCTTCACTAAGAAAGCAGAATCTTCCCACGATCCATCACCCCAGAGCTAGCAAGTGGCAAAGTCAGCGCTCCTCCCCTGGTCTGTCCGGACGAACTCGGATGTAACAGCTTAGATGTAGAAACCAGGTCGGGAGAGGGGACGTTTGTCCAGCACGTTGGCAGCTTTGCCCAGGCGCTCCCACGCCAGGCCACGTCTGACCCACCGAGCCTGGCTGTTCACCGTCCACTCACACACACACACATACACACAAACACACAGACACACACACACACACACACACACACACACCCGTGCCCTGCCCTGGCCTCAGCCCCACCCCCTCTGCCCACGCCTGTCCCTTCTCCGGTTTGCGCCTTCGGCCACTCTGGCTTCCAGCGCTCCCAGGGGAAGGGACCCAGACTTCCCAGCAAACAAACACGCCCACGGGTTTCCAAATATACAGATGAGTGTCCCTCCCGCCCAGCCGGGGCCGGCTGCACGGCCACACGCCGCCCTGCTCGGCTCCTCCGGGGTGGAGTCTGGTCCTGAGTCCTCACCCGGAGGCAGGCGTCCTCCGGGCGGCGGAGGGAAACCAGGGCAGGGAGGCGCCAGGGGTGCCAAAGCCTGTGGTTTGGACCATTTTCCACTCGTCACATTCACATTCGATGGAACAATTGTGAGCAGGTCTTCCCAGACTCCACGACAGTGACTCATCGTCAGACTGAGCCCTCTGTGAGCTCAGTTTCGGCCAGAGGGGTTGCTTTTTAAAACGATGCATTATGGCCGAAACCGGTGTGGCTCAGTGGATAGAGCGTCGGTCTGCGGACTGAAGGGTCCCAGGTTCGATTCCAGTCAAGGGCATGTACCTTGGTTGTGAGCACATCCCCAGTAGGGGGTGTTTAAGAGGCAGCTGATCGATGTTTCTCTCTCATTGATGTTTCTAACTCTCATCCCTCTCTCTTCCTCTCTGTAAAAAAAAAAAGTCAATAAAATATATTTTTTAAAAAGAAAAGAAAAATAATTCCCATTTCCACAAGGCTTCTGACACCTGTGGGTTTCCCCCTCACACTAAACAATGATCCAACTCTCCGGACACCGCCTGGGCGGCCTGCAGTTCAGCTCTGACTCTGACTACCTCGTCAGCACAGACCCCCAGGGCGGGCCCGCCCCCGCCCACAGTTGCCCCCACTTCCGACGCCTCACAGGTGTAGGTTTCCCCCTGGGCTTCTGTCTGGCCAGCCATAAGTGGGGGTCCCAGGCCCCCTTCTCCAGCCCC